AAATGCACAACGCTTCTATAATTTTGTTAATCTGATGACCAATAAATTGTCCTTTCTGAGAAGTTTTAATTTCATGATGTATGTGTGGCAAAAACTTCACTGTTTGGCCATTTGTCAGCAGGAATACTTTGTTCCAACTGCTGTACTGTATAGGGAGAACAAATGTTAGCTTTTTTAATCCTTTTCTTGTTATTTTTCTTTTGTGAATTTCAATTGAGTATCATCACTATACTGTACAGTATTTCAAAGGCAATTGTGTGATAATTTGGTATAAAGACAGCTGATCATTTAACATAAATGAGCTTGACTAAGTGTGAGTACTGTACAGTATATGAAAATATCCAAATGTTTGAAAGTACTGTATTATATTGTACAGTGCTGTACTATAATTTAAGGAAACCAGAGAAAATTTTTCTTACACCTAACTTACAAACCATACCCTAGGTGTGGCATCCCTCCTCATCATCAACATTGTGAATGTAAAAGTTCCTGAACATTTAGTAGATGTAATATATTATTGATTGATTGAAACAGTATACAGTATTTAACCAGGAAAATAGAAATACAAAGTAACCCAAAACAACAACAATATTGACATGGCTGAGCCTACAGTGAGAGCCGGGGCACTCTATAGAAGGAAATTTTGTTAAATGCCAACAATTTAATTCATGATACAAACCATAGCAAGGTAAAGAGCTATCAATTTGTTATTTTTTTTTATAGGACACTGGGTGTTTTCATATATTGTGTTGACCAATGTTTATGTGAACACTTGCTGTAAGGTTTGGGCAAATGCTGGAAGAGTAAAACCTGGTAGATTACAGCTTCAGTCCTGCTCTTTTTTCATGAAATACAGGTATGTAATAGTGTCTACATTTCATTCCACTTAAAGATATCACCTGTGCATTGCCTGTATTTAATTACCATGAATAAGACGGGCGTCCCCTACAGGTAATGTGCGACAGTGATGGCCTGACGACTTCAGGAGGAGATGCAAGATTCGAGAAGAGTTTCTCGACAACCAGTAAGATAACCAGATGCCCCATCTGCCCATACACTACTACCCATCTTTCCCACATGGAAAATCACGCCCGCACTCATACAGGGGAGAAGCCGTTTTCCTGCCCTCATTGTCCCTTTCGCTGTTCACGAAATGGAAATTTAAAGATACATCTACGAACCCACACTGGGGAGAAACCATTCGCATGCCCACATTGTCCTCACCAGTCATCTACAAGTACTGATTTGAAGAAACACATTCGAACGCATACTGGAGAGAAGCCATATTCTTGCCCTCACTGTCCATTTCGTTGTACTCAGAGCAGTAATTTGAAAAACCATCTTCGTACACACTCAACTCTTAAATGTCCACATTGCCCACATCAAACAACAGATAATAACCAAATGACTATCCACCTTCATTCACACTTTGCTGATTAATTTTGTTTGATGGAGATAATTCCAGTAAAGGGATCTTAGAAATGCAAGTTGCCAAATGCAGGTATTGATATTTTGGAGTAGCTGTACAAGATCTGTCACTATTCACAAATGTATATCCTAGTGGCAGGTAACCATGTTAGTGAGTTTGACTTGTGGGCAAGGTTATACAACCACCTTAAGTATTTATAATTTATGTCAGCTGCTTGGAAATTTTCTTAGTTTTTTATCCTGATCTACAGAAGTTTTATACAGTATAATACAGTATTCCCCCTTTGCAATTGCAATTTCTGCATATTACAATACAGTACATTACAGGTATTATTATCTCTTTAAACACATACCAAGCATCTAAATACATACTTCAAGTTGCATATGACAGGCGACATCCATCAATTTTTTTTTTTTTTTTACACAACACATTGTTTGCTTCCTTTGGCTTATAATTTCTTCCTCATAATCTATGAATATTTTCAATATATTTGGTGTACTGTACAGTATAAGACTTTTGGGGAACTAATTTACTGTACTGTACTGTAATTGGCCCAATTTATTACTTTACTCCTTAATGGGATCTTCATCAATATGCTTGTTTTAATGAAAAGAATATAAATCAGGTAGTGAAGCAAGGATATAGCAATCTTGAAACCACATGAAAAGCAGACCATAGCAACCCAATGAACACAACCAACATTAAGTACCATAAGATCATAAAGTTAAAAGTTAGGTTTTGTTAATGCTTGTGGGTTGCTTAGGTTAGTTTTGGTTAATTCTTGTGGTTAGTCTTAGTTGGTTCTTGTGGTTAGTTTAGGTTTTGGTGGCTCTTGTGGTTTGCACTATGGGTGATTTTCAGACTAGTAGTTTTAATTCTCCGCCAGATTTGTATTTACTGCAATAAAACGATGAGTCAATGAAGAACCCATGGAAAAACTAACAAGAAATAAAGGCACACACATACAGTATTATAACTTACATAAGAAAATAAAATTATTTGTGAATAGTGTTAAACTGTACAAATTTAAAAAAAGGATAATGATATGAAAGAACTTTTCGAACCTTGATAAGAGATTATAGCATCAATCAATAGTGTGTTTGCTGTACATATGAAAGCGTACTGTATGTCAAAAATTTTAATACAGTAGTATACATGATTGAACGTATGGGAGTTATAATTAATAAAATTGTAACCAAGTTTGTTAAGGTGTAAGCTGTGTGCTGTACTGCATTGTTTACCACTATGAGATAGATATGATAGGTGTTCAAGTTTGTGGAAGATTATGCTCAACAATATTCAGTGTACAGGCTTACATGCCAGTAATGGGCTGAAATACTGTAGACCTAATAATTTTTTGTCACTTCTGTTTTATTAGTCTTTATTAAAAGAAGTAATAATGCACTGACACTCTTATTTCTATTTCGTTCATATCAATTGTACTGTACATGTATATCAAGGAAATTTACCCTAATACACAATAAATGATCTTTATTTTCCTTTATAACTTTAAGGACTCTATACAATATATGTTACCTGGCATTATAACCCACCAAAGCTGAAAGTGTCAAAACATAATGCATCACACTTCTCATTCGGTAATCTGTAAATGTTTGTAAAATTAATTTAAAACAGCCATATTTATTAGATTTACTACCTGATGAGAGTACAGTATAGCATATTGTCATGTTATTTTACTTGGCTTTATGAATCAGATGAGCACCCTCCATTATTTATGGAGAAAATTTACCTCACTAAATACTGTATACAGTACAGTACATGTACTGGTCTACGCATGAGACGATTCAACAAAGGAAAGAGTGATTTATTCCTCAAAGTTGATGCAACAACTCCTCGTACCTTAAAGAAATTACCGGTTAGTGAATAACTATCATTGCAGGAATAAGATAGTTTAAACTTTAGGCAGTGTATAATGCTATTATTTGACATATACAAGGGAACAATATTGACTTGCAAGCTTGTTTTTCCATATTTATTTGCTACTTTGAACTTCAATAAGACGGGCATTTTCTACAGGTGAGGCTGGATGCAGACGCTCAGTTGACTGACGGGAACAGAGTGGTAGACAGCGGGAACAAGCTTCTCAACAGCAGCAGGATACGTCAATGCACTTTCTGTACCTACACAACCTGCCAGGCCTCCCATTTAAGAAATCATATGCGAATACACACAGGAGAGAAGCCTTTTGCTTGCCCTCACTGCCCATTTCGTTGTACCCAAAATGGCAATCTTAAAATTCATCTTCGTGTGCATACTGGAGAAAGGCCATACAATTGTCTACATTGTCCATATCAAGCTACAATCAGTAGCCATTTGAAAAGACACATGAAAATCCATACTGGAGATAAGCAGTATTCGTGTCCTCACTGTCTCTACCAGACTGCTAATAATTATGACCTGAAGAAACATATTCTAATTCACAGTATATAGATGTGTTATTGTGTCTTGACAGGCCTGTGTAATATTGCTTCCTGAGTAGAGCATCTAGATCAATATCCTACCATAAATGTTGTACTTTTGATGTTCAGCAAACTGTTCTCAGATCAATATACTGTATATATATATTTTTTTCAATACAGTACCCTATATAGTGATATATCTTGCATTTTATGGATAACAATCTTATTGAGCCATAAAATGTAACAGTCTGTTTGTGACTTATGTATCATTTTGTTTGTTCGTACTGTTCTAATGCCATGGAAATTAGTGAACAGTATTAACCAGTAATTTCAGGTAAATTTATCAAATTTCACGTAAGATATTCTTCATTATCTTAAGATAACCAAACGTTACCTACATTTGATTAGCTTACATTACATTATTACTGATGATGTTCTTCGTGGGTTATATTATTTATCTACATGATCATCTCTGTACACTAATACAGTGTGTAGACCAGTTTAAAATTATAAAGAAATATGCATGTATGTAAAGTGTATTGAAACTATTACTGTAACAGTTCTCTCTCTCTCTCTCTCTCTCTCTCTCTCTCTCTCTCTCTCTCTGCTTAACAGGTAATTTTAATAACAACTGTTTAGCTATTTGTAATTTAATATATCTCAAATTCTCTTTTTTTATTATACTGGTGGAGTTTTGATATGGTACTGTACTTTACAGTATTGTACAAATATAGAATTGAATTAATATTGGAACATGCTTTTCATTCATTATTGAAAATAGTTATTACTGAAGGAAGCTGGTTTTATGATCACTGGTATACTGAAATTATAAATGGACGTTATTTACACTCAGTGCCCAAATCTGGGTTCCTTCCATGACCTTATGAAGGAGATGAATGATCTGGGCGTAAGTTGTATATTACCGATATATTTTCTTTGGTTTGTTTGTACAACAATTCTGACGTAGATACCAAGTTAATTTTGTATAATTTTTGTTTTAATGTGAAGAACAATATATAAATAAAGATTTTTTCCCTTAAAAATCTAATGTTTCATTACTTTTCAACCTCTCAAGAAATTTCTCAGTGTGAATCACATATACTGTACAGTAGCTTACTAATGGTTCTGTATTGTATGTTTGTTTAATGGTGACCATAGTTACTCTGAATAAGACGGGCATCCCCCACAGATGGTGCAGGAGAGTGGCGATGTGGATCCTCCGGGTGAAGGAGAGATGGGTCTGGACAACACCTTCCCCATCAACACCAAGCTACATCGATGTCCTCACTGCCCCTACACCACCAACCAAGAAACCCACCTTCTAGAACACTGCCTCACTCATAGCTGGGAGAATACATTTTCTTGCCCACAATGTCCATACATGGCTGTTGAATATAGCCAGTTGAAGAGACATATCCGCTCACACACTGGAGAGAAGTCGTTCTCATGTCCTCATTGCCCATATGACACTATTGATGGTAGTAATCTGAAAAGGCATATTCGTACTCACACTGGTGAGAAGCCTTACTCTTGTCCACATTGTCCTTATCAGTCTGCCATGAAAGGGAATCTAAATAGGCATCTTCGTGGTCACTTAGAAAAGGTTAATTTGACTTCATAATCCCTATTGATTCATAGTAATTTTCACATAATGATGGAAATTTTTAGCATGCTTAATTCATTTAGCTGAAGTACAACACTGTACTCTGTTTACTAAGAATTTTCATGTAAGGCAATGCAATACTGTATTTAGATGATAACATATTACATATGGTATACTGTACTAGTACAGGTAGCTAGAATTTTTATGAAACTGTTAATGCTCAAAGTGCAGCTTATTAACTTTTTGTTTTAATAACAGTTAGGGAAGATATTCGCTACTCATAATGTCGGTATTATATTTACGGAGTCTTTTTTTTCTGTTTTCAACAAACATCAATTACAGTACAGTATTCTTTGTACAACTGGAATGTAGATTTATAAAAAAATCTAAAAATGTGAGTTTTGTGTATGATACTACTGTATACAGTATTTGAAATATATTGTATGTCAACAAACAAATAAGGGAATACAGGTATAATGGATTTTTTTCTATTATTGTTGAATACAAGACTGTAATGAACACAAAAGGTTACCAATTGTCTATGGTTTCAGATGTTCCATTGCACAGGAGTTTGATTGTGGTACTGTACCAGTAATTATACTGTGTCCAATAATAAAGTTTTCAAGATTTTTCTCTTGATTTGTCAGTGTTTCATCTATGTGTTTTAACAATAAAATCAATTTTATCAAAATAATTTCCCCTGCATTTTATACTGCATTTAGAAATACTGTAATAATGTTACATGTACTGTCCCTGCATATGATATTTTTATCTTTATCTTTATATAATTATCAGTGATGCATGCAGCTGGAATGAAATAATACAGTACATATAATAATGATCAAAATTTCTTGGAGCCAAAAACATCAGGTATTGATAAGTTCCCTGAGGTTGGGTTCGAGACAAACTATAACATAGGTGCCATTAACCGAGACATTTCATACCTTTAAGGTGTGAGGTACAGGGAACAGATAATAGGCTTCTGTGGTATGAAACTGTTCAATGCTGCTCTTAATGGCCCTGTGAGTTTTGCCCATCACTTTCTTAACCCACAGGCTCTGGCATTCTCAAAAGCAGTAGCACTATCCAGCACTAGCTTGGAAACCTTTGATTCCAAAATTTTGGGTTAAGTATTCAAAAGAAGACTCAATCTCATTACCCTGTACAGAATTCCACCCTCTGACTTCTTTTGTTCATACTTTGCCACTAGAGAACTGTTTCCTCTACCTGGGTGTTTCTGGCTTTTGTCACTCTCTTTCTTTTCTCTGTTCCATTTTTTAGCTCATCTTACTTTAGTGGGTAGGCACAAAGCTTATCCTTCAATTTATTTGTATTGTAGAAGGTGCTGGATTTAATGTGGAACTTTGACCATATCAGTGATAGAGAGGTTCTTGTATTTCTCTCTGGGCTTCACTGTAGATTTTCTGCTTCCTTTCTTACCAACCAGAAAGTTCGTAGGGTTCTTTCAAACCCATACTGTACTGGTAATAAAAAGCGAAAGTGTATATACTGTACAAAAATGTACCACGGTATGCACTCACAAGGGCTGATAAAAGTGAACTGAAAGGTAGCTTTGTCTGAGAGATGCCAAACAGCTACATGCACCTCCTATGCCATCCAATTTTCCCAAACTGATGCAACATATGTGGGGTAATTTTGACAGATTTGCAGCTTCGAAAGCTAATGAATTAGTATAAATTCAGAATTAATGAATGTTCTATCTACCTGTGGTATATACTGTATATGGTAATGCCCCCAACTTTCATTGTCATGTACAGTAGCTCTTTGAAGATAACCCTGTGAGTTTGAAACAAAGATCAATAAATAATTCCTGCTTTCTCCAAGTTCAAATTTCACCATCTACTCCATGACAAGTGAGTTGCCTCTTCCATTACAGTACAGTAATGGATAACATTTTCCACAGGATCTGGCATTCATCAGAATATTTTAATCCATTATTGTAATGCACTACTGGGAGCCATCTGAGATAAAATCGTCAATGTTAGAGGTCTTTTCTATTGTCAAACATTAATATTCCACACACCCAGTACCCATCTGAGCTTCCTGGGGAGTTATTAGCAGTAACCAAGAATATATGTTTTGTTAAGGTACACTCACAGTACAGTGCAGTATACAGTAGTAATTAAATTATGTAGGAAGGAGACCTTGTGATTCGATTGTCCACCATTACTGTAAGTTCCCCAAATTAAAAGGTGTTTTGTAGGGAGGTTATTGTAAAGAAGTTCATAAATATTCTATCCTAAGGTCAGTCTTATTTTGTGTCCCGAGCATTGAATTTTTGTGGGAGAATTAATATTGTATTGTTTTGTGGCATATGGCATCATTATATGACTCATGGTCACTCCAGGATATTTAAAATGTGGCAGAAACATCATCCCATAACTCATACTTGCATAAGTCTCTGGTCCTGTGTGTAGGATTGAAAGGGTTAAGTACACTGTACACATTAACTGTGACTTTCACAAAAATGTTAACATGATCCAGTAAAGATCACATTTTGTGAAAGGGTCTGCTGGGAAGGTTACAAATATGACAGCTGCCTACACCACTTGATGACCATAACCTAGAATAAAGTGCTGTAATGTACAAATTGTAGGTCATGCATATATTGTACCCTGTATAACCATCAAGTACAATAATATTTAACCCTGTACTATATTTAGTCATCATTTAAATGCAAATCATGTATAAAGAGAAAGCATAATTGTGAGGGTTTACTGAATAAATTAACATTTCTGTGAGAGTATGAGAGTTGGGCATTGCTTGGCAGCAGAGGAGTGGTCGGTGTGCGGTGCGTGGACTGTGAACTCCAAGCAGGGCCGTCCCTAGGAGGGTGCGGGGCCTGGGGCAACTCAACCACTGCGGGGCCCCACACTGGTGTCAGATTATGCGGTCAGCGGAACCCACCCCCACCAACCCCCATGGGACTGTCACTATGGGTGGTAAGGTCAAGGTTGCGATGGTGGCATAAGCCGTCAGGTCAGATTAACCAGTCAACAGGTAATGTGTCCGAGGTCACTGGGTCTACTGCTGGGCCCCACGGGGCCCCAGGCGGTCGCCCCTGTTCGCCCCCCCTAAAAGACGGGCCTGACTCCAGGGATTGAGTATGTAACAGCCAAGAGTCATGTAAGGATCCCACAGTAAAATGCCAGCCATCACTCTAGTATTTCCTTCCATCCTTGACATCTAACATGGTGCAGTGAGTTTGGAGTTGATCCTACACCCACCAGGATGGCTGCTCTCCATCCAAGCATAGAATGATTAATGCTTAGTTGGTAATACCCAAAACAATTAACAACATCGTTTTTCTCAAAATAATGTCTATTATTGGTAATAGCATGTAATAAATGAGAATCTGTGCCATTAGGAAATGGTACAACACCTAAAAATATCAATACAGTATTTTGTAAAAAAATGCAATTTGCAAAACTGTATACAGTAATATGCACTGTGAACCTACATTTTATGAGAAATGATAGGTAAACAATGGATTATGAACACCACATTGTCACAGCATCAAAATATGAGTAAGCTTTCCCCTCCATGTCGTCAATTGGGAGTTTTGGGCTGAGATCCTTGCATCATTCACTCATAATAAATAAAAGATCTCCCTATTTGTATTGTGATTGGCGGCCACAGACAGCCATCTAAGATTCAGATCATACAGAGGTTCAGAACATGTTTGACTCCCCCAAATTTTTAACACCTGTACTTTTAATACTAATGGTGATTAATAAACAATTTTGAACAACACGGTATGTACAATTTACGTGAATCTGCCTGCAGTTTCTTTGTACCGTTTATTTTTTCAGATACATTTTATGTATTCAATGTGCTAATGGCAAAGGAGGGATTTATTTGAATCAGGATGCAATACAAAGTTGGTACTCAGCATGAACATTATGGAAGTGGTTCAACTTAAATTCCAGTTCATCTGTACAGTATTTTCTATTGACTGAAATCCCCTCGGAAAAATATTGCAATTGTTTGCTTATTCATCAGCAAAAATTGAGACTTCGATATTAAATTTTACAAACACATGTGAGTGTATCTATTGTTATCCTTGACGTGACTGATGTACAGCAGTACAGACCTCTGATATAAAAATTATATACCGGTATTTGGCCTTGTCGGTTCTTAATGTATTAGAACGGTATCTTCAACAATGCTAGAAATCATAATTTAGTCTTTAATAGCGATGTTTGCAAAAAGTCTTAGCTCTCTGACATTGTTGATGTTTACATACTTCATTAAACAGTTTAAGTGAATGTTATTGTTTTCTGTTTGTTTTTTTACTTGTTACCGGTACATAAAAAAAAAATTGCATTGAAATTGTGACATTTACACAATCACTCAACCTTTAAAGATTTCCAACACTTTAATTTCACTGCAAAAGACATCGGTTGGTGTTACCCTTCAAATTAGTACACCTACATGAAAAGAAATGCAGGATTCACTGAACTGCAGAGTCACAATTCTCAAGCGGAAATCTGAACACATCGTATCATTGTTATACATGCATTTCCACGTTTATTCTTTTAGATTCACGATTTTGCAATGATTATGTAACTGTAAACATGTGATAAGCTTTTAACTGACAAGAAGAAATGTTAGTGTTTTAAAGAATCATGTACATTTTACGCTGAACTTGTGGACAAGGAAAGTATTGTTAATATGCATATAAATTTTATGTTGAACATGTAAACAATGAATAAGGAAGGTGTCGCTTACAGGTGGGGCTGAATAGTGAGGCTGAGCAGTACAGCGGAGGAGGAGGAACAGCTGCGGGCCGCGGGAGGAACACAGCCGTTAGCAGGAAGCTGCATCAGTGCCCTGTCTGCCCCTACACCACCACTAATCGCTCCCATTGGATTGTTCATTACCGAACTCACACGGGGGAAAAGCCATATTCCTGTCCATATTGTCCTTACGAGGCTGTTGCTAACAGCGACCTTAAGAGACACATTCGTATTCACACCGGAGAAAAGCCTTTTTCCTGTCCACATTGTTCTTATCAAACTGCTGTCAGCACTAGTCTTAAACGACATATTCTGACCCATACGCGTTAATTACACTTACAGTATATGGTACTGTGCACCTGTATTCTGCTTTTTGTAACACAGGAAATATTTGATGACGTTAACTTTAAATGATACTAAGAATATACCAATTTTTCATGTAAAGAACTTTCAGAGCCATAATAGAACAGACAGAGGAGTAACATGTTTTGAGAAAGTGATGTTGATATGAAGAAACTTAATATCATTAACATTATTTTATTCCAACACTGAAGTAGTTTACACCAACATATTAATTTATTTTTTTTGTGGTGACTCATTTATAGCAATGTAGTATAACATACCGCACGATGTCATCATAGTCAAGCTTGTTGTATATTTTATTGAATACATTATGCTTGGGTGAGAGGTTTAATTTACTCGTCACTTTTTTATCAAACAGCATTGAAGTGTTTCACTTCTTTGATAATGAAACATCTGAATTGTTAACACGAGATAATGGGCAAGATATGATGGCGAGGGAAGCACTGGTGCATGGATAAACTGATTCCTTGTTGGTAATGCATATCTAATAGGCAACCAGTTTATACTATGCAGTTGTCACATGAAAAGGGTATTTTTATGTATTATGGAAAAGTATATACAGTAACCAGAACTGACTTAACAGCTAAGTTTCATCCACTTTTACATAATCAGCAACCATTACAGTTCGTAGAAGTTGAGTGGTAGCTGTTGGGTGAACCGTGACATCACGGTGGCAGTTACATTTTCATCCTTTTCATTGATTATTACTACTGTATATGTTTCAAGCTTTAACATAATTCCATATATTCCTGAAAGAATTACATGACACCTAACAACCAGCAAACAATCAACTTGTGTGTACTACAGGTGCTGAGAAAGTAAGACATTGGGCCGAATTTAGTTGATGATTCATTTGTTTCATAAATATTACTCTATCACAGTTAAGTTCAGCTTATATACAAAGCTGTAAATATTAATATAAACTTTTAATTTCAGTGACTGTGGCAATAAATAAATGGTCCTGTGATTAATATAATTGTGTTTTTTCTGGTTCCATTAAACTTCTGGATGCTCAGTTCTGTTATTGTTGAAGTGCAAGTTGAGTTGAAGTACTGTACTGTACGTACTTCATCATATTATGACAGCTTTCAAATTCATTATGTTATTGTTTTTAGTCTAAAGTGACACTTTCAAGATTATTTTTCTCTAAGGTAATTTTTAGGGTAACATTATGAAAAATATATCGACTGGCAATAAAAGAGTTTATTATAAAGTGTGGCTGTGGCGTACAGTACATGGCAGGATGGTGACGAAGCTCGCAGGGAACATATGAAGTGACGAGGATGAGAAAATCTAAGAAAATCTGACATTTCGTAAGCAAGTAGATACAGGTTGACCATCAAAAATCCGGCAATCGATAAACCGGAACCTTCAGTTTTCCAGCATGGATTTCGGAGCGCATTTTCAAATATTTCTTTGTTTATTTAATGAAGATATATGTTTTAGCTCATAAAATTCATACAAATTACCCGGCCAGAATATAATTTACATTGCTGGAATTCTTACAATTTGATGATCATTTTGAATATAAACATCATAGATTTTGCATTAGACATACAAATTTTAGATATAATGTTTACTCTGAATAAATATGTTATCTTTTGTGCAAGATATATGACATTTATATTCAAAATATTCCTGGTCTTATAAGGAATCCAGCAATGTCAATTATATTATCCTAACTTTAGTTTGAGGTATTATTTATTACTAAAAGTTAAAATTAGTTTTTTCACCCAACATTTCTCTGGTAGGGATGGAAGATGGAGGGTGTGGGGGGAGGGTTGGGACCGACCGACTATCTAGCGCGGTTGGAAGAGGGAGGAGGCAAGTTGGGGTACTTTGATTGACAGATAGCGTCGTGAAGAATATTTTTTTTTATTAACTGAAGATATTTGTTTTAGCTCATAAAATTCATACAAATTACCTGGCCAGAATATAATTTACATTGCTGGAATTCTTACAATTCGATGATCATTTTGAATATAAACATCATAGATTTTGCATTAGACATACAAATTTTAGACGTAATGTTTACTCTGAGTAAATATGTTATCTTTTGTGCAAAATATATGACATTTATATTCAAAATATTCCTGGTCTTACAAGGAATCCAGCAATGTCAATTATATTATCCTAACTTAAGTGTTTAATTTTCTTTGTTTAAAGGACTGTACAGATAGTCATTTTCTGTTAAACTTATACAGCAAATATAACCATCAGTTTTCCGGCATTTTCGAAAATCCGGCACTCCTCAGGTCCCGAGGTTGCCGGATTTTTGATAGTCAACCTGTACAAACTTAATAATTTTTGCATGACTCCATTAGATAAAAAAAATGAAAAGCTGCATTGGCATAGGGAGGCTAAAATTAATTTTTTGGGCTAGTCAGACTACACCAAAAAGACAATATAATATGTCACATATTAAACGTGACAGAGTTGTAACCTGTTTCTAGCTGTGTTTACTTTTGGACTTCTCAATTACAATATGTACAGTAATATATTCCCCCCTCCCCCTTTTTTTTCAGTTAAATACGTATAAAAGTATGTATTAGATGGGGTCTCACTGGAAAATGCTTGAGAACCCCTGCCCTATAGACAGTCAGTCAAGATTGGTGCTCACAGATCTGTATGATGCATGCAAAAAATTTCTTGTTGGTCAAAATTAGTTATTGATTATCATAAGTATTAAAAACGTGAGGAATAAGACACATATTTTAGTAATATATGATGAAAGGAAGCTCATTTATTTGCGGGTCACATTAATGATTCAAAGTTGACATGATATCAATTACAGAACATTACGAGCGTGTATGTGTGTGTGTGTGTGTGTGTTTGTGTTAAGAAGACATTTATTATCTGGATGTGCCTAAATAATAATGCCAAGCCAACTTAGATATGTACAATACAAAAAATTCATATGTATTGGGAGAATTTTTTTGCATATGTGTGTTACTCACTCATTGACTTTGCTCTTAAGACCATGAACATGAAACCTCGAGGGCTGAAACTTTGCATGCATACTGTGGGTGTGCACCTCATTGTAACTTTTTTAGATTTGGTTAAGAAAAAATAAAAACATTCAATATATAAACTAATTAACAAAATGGGAAGGCGGGGAAGAGTGCCAGGAGCTATACCTAAAAGTGATAGTGTAGTTGATGTAGTGTAAATGAGAGTGAAGCTGATGTAGTTTCGATGATATTATACTTGATGTAGTGAAGATTATCGTGCAGATGGTGTAGTATTAATGATGTATGCATTATTGTTAAAAAATATATATTACTGCAGCCCGTGCGAAGCTGGGTAATGATGATAACAATTACAGTATATGCTCACATGTATCTAGCACCTAGTAGAGCAACTAATAAGCTACTCTCAAATCGACACGTGATATTTTCGGTTACATTACTAAGGTGCACAACATCCCCCACAGATGATGCCGGGGAGTGACGGTGGTCATACCGGGTGGACTAACGTCGCGGGGCTGGAAAGGAATCCGGTGCTTGAAAGGAATCCAGGGCTGGAAGGCATTCCCACAGCTCCTGTCAAGACCCATCAGTGCCCCTACTGTCGCTACAAAACACCCATCACATCAAATCTTAAGAAGCATGCCCGTATTCACACGGGAGAGAAACCATATGCATGTCCTCACTGTCCATTTCGAGCAACCCAAAGAGAAAACCTTAAGAAACACGTCCGTACTCATACCGGGGAGAAACCTTACCCGTGTCCTCAGTGTGCTTACCGCTGCTCCAGGAAAAGCACTCTAATGAGCCATATTATGTCTCAACACAATTAAGGTATACCTAGATATGCATTTAATGGTTTCATATTTATGTTTGAAACTAAGCACGTCTGCAATACAGTACATTCAGTTTAGCAACAATTGTCATATTTGGTTTTATGTAGAAATACAGTGTTCATTGTATTTACAGTATATTTTTATACTCTAATTTTTCTAATTTGGAAATATGGAATGTAGATATACTTACTAGTTCAATAATTATTTATTGTTTTAAAATGAACTGTTTTGGATGCATGCTCATTAGAAAACACCAAAATCTTGCACTCTATTAAATTTCTCTATACAATTTCTCTTTTTTGAAAGACTTGTTTGGTTATGATGAAGGTACTGTATTATGAACCAAAACATAAATTTTATGAGTATAATAAGAATGAAATGTGTGCAAATAGTAATGGAGTTACAATCTGATAAACTGTGTGGTGCAAAAAGAGGAAATATCTTGTGAATGAACTTCATGCGGCTTATACTGTTGACATAATTAATGATGACATCATTAACCTGTTGTTATTTATTACCTAAGCTCACTGAATGAAGAGTTATTTAAAAAAAACTTAATGTAACGTCGTAACCGTGGCTGTAAACTATTACATCATATTATTCCATATTTTGTCTAACATTTGTGAGAACGAGGCTGTGAAGCAGAGATTAACTGTCTTTTAGTACAATACTCTAGTGCAACACTTTGATATGTACACAAACACATGTACAGACACAAACAAACATATTGTACTGTATATACAGTATGCTCTTTTTTTCTTGAGATTTTCGTGGTAGAGATTTTGTGTATATCTTATGTGTTATTTCAACTGATTAGGTTTTCTTGTTTCATGTTTAACCATAAAATGAAATAAATTAAAGGATGCTTATGTATACATCTGTTCATTTGATGCCATTGTGCAGCAAAATTGTATTATTGTCCTATTTTTCTGGCAGGTGCTGATGAACCGTTCAGAAGCAAGACGTGGCGAGGAAGCATCATCAGTAGACCTGTGGAGCAAACTGTCCAGCAGTGTGTTTTCCAGTGTGGGTGCTGCTGGCAGTGGTGCTATCAAGAGTCATCAGTGTCTTTACTGTCCCTACACTACCAATATTAAATGTAACTTATTGCGACATGAAAGAACACACACTGGAGAAAAGCCATATCCTTGTCCCCACTGCAACTTTCGCTGTTCTCAAAATTGTGATTTAAAAAAACATATTCGTATTCATACCGGAGAAAAGCCTTTTGCGTGTGAGCATTGTCCTTACCGTTCCTCGCGGAAGGAAGTGTTACGAAGTCACATGCGTATACATGCGACGAGTGAGGGAAACTAGAGAGACCACAGACATAGTCATGGGTTTTTAGTGTGATGCCTTGATAGTGTTAATGTTATGTACATAGGCTAACTGAAGTGGATCCCAACGAAGAAGTACAACCATAACTTAATAATGAAACTGTTAAGAGAAAGTTATTGTCACACACATTCATTTTCTCTTGATGTAAACACAATTATTAGCTGTGCCATCCTTACTTATTATAAATTTAGATGCAGTCACACATTGTACTCATAGAATATTTGTCACCCAGGTCGAGCCATCAACATGGGTGGCATTTGTGATGCGTGTTTTCTGTGTGTGCTCACAGATTGTGGTGTACTAACAGACTGCTGGTACTCACACATTCTGGTTTGACCAACACTGGCACATGTTCAGGTACTGTCAAGAGCCCATATATATCCATACTTGCCAGCAGTGTTTAACAGGGACATGACCAACCACTTGACTGGCTAGTAAGCTGACAAGTGGTGAAGAAGAAGTAGAGTCATGGCCTCATGCTATGGTGAGCACTGGCTAACTGTTGACACCTTAGTCTTCTTTCATAAATGAAAAATAAACTGTATTATCTAATGATCACTGTTTACTACTTTCAATAAGGTATCAGCATACGATATGTACTGCTTATGGCGATGTAATGACAAGGGGTCATAGCTCAAGGTTGAAGAAGCTGCAAGTCCGGAAAACTGTGAGGGCAAACTTTTTTGGAGTGAGAATTGTGAACTCTTGGAACAACCTGCCGGAGAGTGTTGTGACGGCACCAAGTGTGAGCTCTTTGAAGACCAGACTTGACCAGCACTGGAGCAGGTTCAGATACATTCAGGAGCCAGTGAATGCTTGCCAACAGTGCATATCAGAGACATGACTGACAGCCCAAGCGGCTAACAAGCCGATCAGTGGCGAAGAGAATAAAAGTAAGAAAGTACTGTAGCTGTTTAGTGTTGGTTAGTGTTAGTAGTCATACAATAGGACTGTAATAGCAATAGTATAGCACTTAGTAATAGCATACTGTAGTAGTAGAAGTAATATTTATAGTATAGTAGTAGTAATTGTATAGTAGCTAGTAATAGTATACATCGCACTGTAGTAGTAGTAGAAGTAATAGTTATAGTATAATAGCTAGTTGTAGTAGTAGTAGTAATACAGTACTGTAGTGTTAGTACTGTAGTTGTTGTAGTAAGTACAGTAGTAGTAATACAGTACTGTAGTAGTAAGCACTAGCGTAGCTAGGGGGGGCGGTCCGCCCCGGGCGGCACTTTTGGGGGGCGGCACTTTTGGGTCTGCTCATCACCCATATCTGCAGCTACTGGAGACGTTAATCCATCCCTTTGTATCGGCGGCAAGTTAATCCTTGTCGTGTCTGACCTAACACCTGACCCACATCGTCACGGCCACGTCATGAGCTACACCCATGCTATGCGCCCCCCCCCCCCGCCACACACACAACCTGTAACCTGTTGAAGATTAAGGAAACAACTTCAAACAAGTACGCCAGTGAGCTCATGTGGGGTGGGTCAGGTGTTAGGTCAGACACGACGAGGATTAACTTGCCGCCGATACAAAGGGAAGGATTAACGTCTCCAGTAGCTGCAAAACCATGCAGTCTCGGGTCATATCAGTTCATGTACAGCCGACCAATCCACCAGTTACAAGCAATTCACTTCAGTTCTCCACAAGTCTCCATCGTGACAAGACGAGTGAGTCACTGTGCAATATGTATTTTTTGTGGGGGCACGGGGGCGGCAAACTCAAGGGCCGCCCCGGGCGGCACACACTCTAGCTACGCCACTGGTAGTAAGAGTGAAGAGCCACATCTCAGAAACTAGTTGGTAATTTTTTCTGAAATATCCTGAAGTGAAAACTATTTAAGTGATGAACGGCTTAAATAATTCTGGCTTTTTTTCATCAGCTGTGGCGGTTGTTACAAAGACTTTCTGAACTATTGACTTTACTTTTGATACTCTATATTTCTTAGAACACAATTAAGGAGGTTAACACTATTTAAGTAAACGAAAACTTTTGTCAAGTAGCGATATTTTTTTTCTTTTGATATCCCCGCGTGTTTAAAAAATATGTAGCACCTGCCATCTCTCCTTCATTATACCATGAGAGGAATAACACTTATAAATCAATATTGTGATGGAAAATGTCATTCTTTTCTTTTTATTTAGTTAAACAGAAAATAAAAGAGATTTCTTTGTTTCTGGTTTGATATCATCCACAGTATGTTAAAGAGGTGAATTTTTGCACTTTTTTTTTAACATAGACACATGGCCAACATATCCTGCACACATTAGCCTTCAAATGCTGTACAGTATTGTGTCAACTTTGGGTCCCTGAAATAACGTCTTTAACATTATTCACTTTGATTAAATCATGTCACATCAAGTTTGCCGTGTTCGTTTTCATGACCTTGAAGTACCTTATTAGAGAGCACTCTTGCTTTTATCATCCTTTCCTTATATGTATTAAAAAAATTACTTTCTATATTGGGATATCAGGAAACAAATTACAGTAATAGTTTTACTATAAAAAAAATACTTATTTTTCCTGCGCCTCCACGAAACATTGAGACACTACCAGCCTTCCCCTCATCACTCTAACCCCCCCCCCCCCAATCAGTTTTTACCTGTTGATTATATTATATACAACAAATGTATACAAAATAATCGCATAAATTTTATTTCACTCAATCACGCTAATCCCTTTACATAACACACACATTTAGACTCACTGGGATTGGTGATGTGGGACTATGGCAAGACACTTAGCACGTGTGAGTAAAAGTTTAATACTTCTTTTACAGCCGAATAGATACATATTGTCCGCGTCTATTAATGTAATTGAGTGTAGCTCATTCTATTGACCTTGAATGTAAGGCTCGGGTTGGGGATGTTTCAGTGTGTTTCTCTGTGTTTGAAGCACAGAACACAGTAATTGCTAGCGTATTACCTTCAAACTCTTGTAAAATTATTATTTGACCTGAAAACTGGATGCAGCTGAAGCACCAGGAGCGTAGAGGGTCTAGTTGGGGTTGATATTTTACTGTGTTCAGGGTCACACTCACCGATCCTAGAATTCTGGGAATACGGTTTCAAATAGAACACTCAGACATTTGCACACACACACAAAAGCCGTCTCTTCATACACTTACAAATATTGCCCCTTAAAAGAGGATCTATAGTCTATATACACTCAAATAAAAGTACACAGTCAGGCATAAACCACTATACATACACACAGATATATTACCTAATACAATCTCATCTTATCAAATACCCGACCCATTGTCATAATTCAATCAACGTATTAGGCCAGTTGTACTAAAAGCGGCCACGTGTGGCCTCTAAACCACAGCAGAAATCTCTTATAGTGTCGACCAGTTCCCAAGGGAGAGAGAGGCGGAGTTACATCATGTTAAGAGACTAGGGGCAGCCTTAATGCGGGGTGCCACCCGGGAGGCGGCGACGTCATGCCAGGGAGGCAAAATCTGAGGAAGCTTGTATCACGACCTTCAGTTCTCAACACTCCCTCACCAAGAACACTTAAGGTAGGTTGGTACTCTCCAATGCGGTGTTAATTAATACAGGGTGATACTGATGGTCACTTGGTATTAGTAGAGTGACACCGGTGGCCACATGGTGTTAGTGTTAATGACCACATGTTATTAGTGGCCACAGGTGTTAGTGGCCACTTGGAGTTAGTGGCCACAGGTGTTAGAGTTAGTGGTCACATGTTGTTGGTATTTGTGGCCACATGGTGTTGGTGTTAGTGGTCACAGTTGTTAGTAGCCACATATTAGTGTTTGTGACCACGTGGGGTTAATGTACGGTATACTAGTGGTGGTCATAAGGAACTAACAGCAACCTGAGTGCAAGTTTATATATGTGTTTTATCAGCATCAGAGAGCAAGAGGCATCAAGTTGATGAACTACATTTCCTAAGCCAATGTCCCTTTAACACGCCACAATTTGTTGTGGGGAGAAATTAAAATTTTTCTTATCGGTCAGTTATTTTGATTCCTAATTAAGAAGGGATCATACACACTCACCCCCATGATGTTATAGAAGAATCTAGTTAAATTAATCTATATTATAGTGGGTTCCGTAAATGCCTTTCATAAATCAAGGGGTATATTCCTGAAGAAACATAAATAAAGATAAATTACTATATGACCACATTCTCAATTCTCAATAGTTTCGGAGTTACAGCTCATGAGAGGTTTGGTAGGAATGTGATGAAATCTATATGGGGTGTAAATAAATCCCCTTGAATTCTGCCTGCGGGGTCACATAAAAAGCAAGGTGTATGCTACAGAGGTCCCAAACCGCAAGGTATTGTGGTGCCGTGTGCAGGACAGTGTGACCGACCGCCCAAGCGGCTAAAATGTCGATCAGTGGTGAAGAGGAGTGTGCGACAGGCTGAAGCCTGCATTGAGCAAGAGTTCTGCCCCAGAGAACTCTGAACAGTTGCTTTAAATGTTAATACTAGTACAAATCATATGGCATTATTGTTAATAAACGTCACATGAGTGAGATAGTGCAGGGGGTTGGACTCGGGATATTTCAGTTATTGGGGATCTAAATTGAGATTCAAGTCACAATCGAGATTTGTTTTGAGGTACTTGAATACATAAAAAAGTGTACTGTGATATCAGTGTCTATCTAGTCTATTCAACGCCTCGCTTATCATAGACAAAAGTATGAACCTATGAAGGTGTGTGAAACAATCCCTGATAACCGTGATGTACGAACATGACGCAACCAGTTCAGTTCATAAATATACGTTATTAATATCCCAAGAGTGACACGAAATTAGCATGTTTACAAGAAATTGTCAAAGTGTCCCATTGACAATATTGTTCAAAAACATTCTTACTCAGGAACTGGATAAAACGACTTATATCTAGATTTACGAATGTTACGCAGTACAAATACAGTACAATACACAACTTCGGTCAAAGCAATGTACCAGTTTGATTAACTCGGCAAAGGTGTTTCAATATTCAGGGGCAGATCTAGGAATATCAAAAGGGGGGTCCAAGAAGTTGTGGGAAAGGGAACACAGCGAGTAGGCTACAGCAAGCCCACCCAGCTGGGAGAGCGTTGAAAAGCCCCCCCCCCCCCTTCCCCAATAATTTATTTGCCTGATTTACCTTCTTCTCGCAATGGCCCGAGAACTTCAGCTCATTGTCAACATACACACCTAGGTCCTTCTCACATTCAGTCTCAATGAGTGCAGTTTCTTCATCCCGTTGAGACATATGATACGCCTCCTTACCGTTGGTACGCCCCAGGTGCATCATCTTACACTTTGTGACATTGAATCTCAGCAGCCATTTCTTCGACCATTCTTGTAGCCCACAGTGGTCCTTCTGCAGCTCTTCACAGTCCGCTTGGTTCATGATTTCCCGAAATAACTTGGCGTCATCGACAAACATTTGTATGGAGGAGTGTACAACGTCAGGCATGTCATTTATGAAACAAACAAACAACGGCGGGCCCAATACACTGCCCTGTGGTACCCCGCTTGTGACAGATACACCTGTGAACAGCTTTGTGACGACTTAGTAATTACTAAAGACTATAAGTTCACAAGTGTGTTTCTGTGACCTGGTGGAGATCTACCTGCCTGTTGTTTTATCTGTACACTGATACCGATCGTCGGGACTCGGGAGACTGGCTGGAGAGCTAGTGGTAATTCGACGACATATGAGGTAATTATCAACTGCTTCTGTATCTACGACTGGCCGCTGGTTACCAACGGTGGACGTTGGGAGTGGCGAAAAGAGGGTCGTATTTTTTATTTTTTTTAGAAATGGGTTCCGGGGTTATACTCTACCAATTCTTAACCAAGGTCTTTCATGATACTACACACAAAATTTCCAAGACAAAGGTTTGGTTAGATTAGGTCAGATTTCGTTAGAATTGGATTGGTTCGGTTTCTGTGTGTTTTTATCGTACAGTTTGGGTTGGTAAGGTTTTCATAAATTTGCCCAAGAAATGGACATGAAATCTACTCAAAACACATCGATACATGCAGGAAAAACATACAATTTCGTTCAAAAGGAATATTATCAGTACTAAATGCATTAAATAAATAAAGCGCTCATATAAACTAATGAACAGTCAACATTGACAGAAGGCGTACGACTCACCTCTTTATCTTTCGGAAATCGAAAGAAAGAAATGTTTCTGTTCCTTAACGAGTTGCTAGAGCAGTTAATAGCTGCACAGTACTGGGGCCCCATTACAGCTGTTACAAAAAATGTACTAATCAAAAGAAAATCGTGATTTCGCCGAAATGTTCGTCTTCTTGCCTTATTCCGTGCCTTGGTTATTATTAGTTTACTTCCCAGCCGCGTGGCGTAATTATTATTATTATTATTATTATTATTATTATTATTATTATTATTATTATTATTATTATTATTTTTATTATTATTATTATTATTATTATTATTATTATTATTATTATTATTATTATATTTTCGCCCCCAGGCCCTGATGTGGGTCAGTGACCTGCCCGGGTGGACTATATATATATATATATATATATATACACGCACACAGTTTCACAGGATTCAAATTATGTATAAAACTAACTATGAATTACACAATTTTAACAGATACGAATGGTTCCCACCAGTTCCTATCAGATAAAGCGTGAGAATAATGATCTTCTGAATGAAATTTCCATGCTAGGGGAAGAAGTTCGTCATCTGGGTGCAACCTGCCAGAAGAAATGGAGACGTCGGCTGTTGAAAAGTCAGACAGCTTCTACTATCTCACTCAACTGTGTAATGGACCTTTCTGGGTGAGTACTAGTATTGTTCTTATTTATAATCTCATGAACTAAATGTGTGATTAAAAAAAATACTGCATGAATCAGATGATAAAAGCAAAAAGTAAGGCACATAGCAACTGCATCTGAGGGAAATTATTTTAGTTTTATTTGTTTCATTAATTACGTCCAAAGTGGCAGACTAATCAGAAGGCATGTGATTATCATAACGCAAGAAACCAACAGAAGAATTATAATTAAAACAAAATATTTATTATTTAGTGAGCAACTTAGAAAGTGGATTTTTTCCAAATAGTGTCATACTTGAGGGAACAAAGATTCAAGACAACCTCAGCAACGAAGTCTGGCGATATGAGGATTTTGTGAATGTGTGACCAATGTCTGACTCCTTGTGGCTGGAGGTCCCTGAGCCTGAGCGGCAGACCCAGACAGTGCAATAATTGAGGCAGTATTACTGAAGTTCAAGAGTATTAGATGTGGGTTGTTACACAGTAATTGTAAACATAAGTGAGGGACGAACTCCGATATCTAGTACGTACTGTAATTGGATTATTTTCTATTTTTAGAGAATGAATGTGTACGCTACCACCAGAAGGAGTTCTTCGATTTAATTCATTTTCCACAAATATTCTTATTATTGAGCCAATGAAAGCAACTTAGTTGAAGCGTCATGATGTAATTTTCCGTTTCTTGTGGAGTTGAGAGTACACTGGGACCAAGCAGTTGGTTGTAACACGACACGGTAACTTGGCACTATAGTGTATGTGGCCAATTGGTACATTTCTCTTCGTGTTTTCTCTTTGTTAGGCTCACATACATACCTACGTGTAGGAGATCTCGCACTAAGGATGGAGGTGAGAAGTGAAACTCACAATGGTGTTTTCTATATATATATTATATGTACAATGCAGTGATAGGGAGTTGCTGTGTGGTGAGGAGCATCTTGTCTGTTTGAGAGCGTTGAGTAGAGCGACCTTCTTTGGCTTTGGAGTCATGAGTTATAAGGTAAAAGAAGATTATTAAGGATTGAAGAAAAGTGGTGAAACTGAAATACATAGGAGTGACGTTCACGGCGAGGCTGGGGGTATTTGTAGATTCTAAGATCAGATAGACAGGAAGTGAGCGGCACTGCTGATTGGCTGAGGTGAAGGCGGTAACTGGCCAATCACCGCGCAGTCCGAAAGCGAGGCCCAGTCCGTGGAGCTCGCCGCTGGTTAGTTAGTAAGCAGACGGCAAGTGATCAATCAGCAGTTGTAGGGGAGAGTATTGTAGTGGATACTCTCCCTTACTTCTCGATTTGTCGCTTACCAGCCGACCCGCCGCGAGTTCCTCAGACCGAGCCTCACTTTCAGATTGTGCGGTGATTGGCCAGTTACGGCCTTTCCCCTCAGCCAATCAGCAGCGCCGCCCACTTCCGGCAGACTTGTATAAATACCCCCAGCCTCACCGTGAAGATTATTTTACTCAACGCTCTCAAACACTAAATCAAAGGAACTTAAGAACCTTAATAAACAATGCGGCGATGCTCAACCCCAGCCACCTCCTTATCATGGGGGACTTTAACTATGGCGACATCGACTGGAGAAACGAGTCAACCCCGAATGACTTGAATAATCCTGCTACTCTTTTTGTAGAAACTCTGAGAGATAATTTTCTGTTCCAACATGTGAGAGACCCGACACATTACAGAGGGGAGCAAACACCCAAGCCACTTGACCTCATCATAACAAACGAGGAGGGTATGGTGGCCAAACTGGAACACCTTGCCCCAGTTGGCACCAGTCACCATACAGTGTTGTCATTCAGATTTAACTGTTACCTAGTTCAAGATAAGGCCAGGCCAAGGTGCAAATATTACAAGGGAAATTACAATGGGATGAGGGAAGAGATGAGGGGTATCAACTGGCCTGACTTATTAAGGTACAAGAACGCAGACACTACGCTGAATATCATAACTAGTAAAATGACCCATTTGATCGATAAATATATACCCAAGACCAAACCCAGTGCTTCTAGGAATACGAGGGGATCCCTACACATGAACCATGCGGCGGTCGACAAAATTAAGAAGAAAACCCAGAAATTCAAGACGTGGGTTGGGTCAAACGATGAGCAAGACAGGAGGATGTATGCAAGAGCCAGAAACCAAGCAAAGATAGAGTGTAGGAGGGCTGAAAAGGAGTTCCAAAGGCTGGTTGCACGCGAGGTCAAGTCAAACCCAAAGGCGTTTTACCGCTATGCAAAGTCGAAATTGAAAACGCGAGTAGGAGTATCAGACCTGAGGCTTGAAGATGGTAGTTACGCAGATTCTGACCAGGATAAAGCTGAGGCATTGAACAGCTTCTTTTCCTCAGTGTTCACAAGAGAGGATGCAACTAACCTTCCTGCGTTTGAGGACAGACGGTTCGACACAGCACTGACCCACATTGTGTTCACAGAAGAGGGTATTAGAAATAAACTGTCCAGGCTAAAGGTCCATAAGAGTCCTGGACCTGACATGGTGCATCCTAGAGTGCTAAGGGAGCTGTGCAACGAGCTTGCAGAGCCCCTGAAGATTCTGTTTTGTAAATGCCTGGATGAACAAATGGTCCCCAGTGAATGGAAAGTGGCTTATGTGAGTCCTATCTTCAAGAAGGGCGATAGGCACTCCACGAACAACTATAGACCGGTGAGCCTGACCAGCATAATATGTAAAGTACTTGAGAGTATTATCAGAGATGCAGCGATGGAACATCTACTACGAAACAACCTTGTAAAAGATTGCCAACACGGTTTTATGCCGGGGCGCTCTTGCTTGACACAATTGCTCAAGGTATTGGATATTTGGACCCATATTCTAGAACGGGGTGGTAATATCGACAATATTTACCTAGATTTTGCCAAGGCTTTCGACAGTGTACCCCACGAAAGGCTGAAAATCAAACTGGAAGGGTACGGAATTCGGGGAAATGTCCTAGCGTGGATAGAAGACTTTCTACATGACCGCAAGCAATGTGTGGTGATTAATGGCACGAAATCGTCATCTGTACCTGTAACAAGTGGGGTACCGCAGGGTAGTGTATTGGGCCCGCTGTTGTTTGTTTGTTTCATAAATGATATGCCTGACGTTGTACACTCCTCCATACAAATGTTTGCCGATGACGCCAAGTTATTTCGGGAAATTAAGAACCAAGCGGACTGTGAAGAGCTGCAGAAGGACCTCTGTGGGCTCCAGGAATGGTCGAAGGAATGGCTGCTGAGATTCAATGTCACGAAGTGTAAGAGGATGCACCTGGGGCGTACCAACGGTAAGGAGGCGTACCATATGTCCCAACGGGATGAAGAAAATGTACTAGTTGAGACTGTGTGTGAGAAGGACCTAGGTGTGTATGTTGACAATGAGCTGAAGTTCTCGGGCCATTGTGAGAAGAAGGTAAATCAGGCAAATAAATTATTGGGTCTTATAAGAAGGTCGTTCAGATATCTAGACGGTCCGTCCCTCGTGACGATCTTCAGGAGTGAAGTGCTTCCCCATCTGGAGTACTGTCACCCCATCTGGTCCCCGAGATATGCTAGGGACTGTCAGTTGGTTGAAAATGTTCAAAGGAGGGCCACCAAGCTGGTGCCTGCACTTCGGCATCTCAGCTACCCTGCGAGATTGGAGCGCCTGAACTTGCCTAGCTTATACTACAGACGGGCAAGGGGGGACCTAGTTGAGGTTTATAAGCATCTCAGGGGGCACTACTCAGTTGAGTGTCCTTACTTGGAGCTGGCGGACGCTCGCCCCACAAGGGGTCACAGCTCAAGATTGAAGAAGCCGCAAGTCCGGAAAACCGTGAGGGCAAACTTTTTCGGAGTGAGGGTTGTAAACTCTTGGAACAATCTACCAGAAAGTGTTGTGACGGCACCGAGTGTGAGCTCTTTCAAGAGAAGACTTGACCAACACTGGAGCGGGTTCAGGTACATTCAGGAGCCGGTGCATGCCCAGTATTTGCCAACAGTGCGTGACAGAGACGTGACCGATCGCCCGGGCGGCTAGCGAGCCGACCTTTTGGTGAAGAATATAAAGGAAAAGAGTCGTGACCGATCGCCCAAGCGGCTAACAAGCCGATCAGTGGCGAAGAGGATAAAAGTAAAAGTAAAAGTAACAAGCTCCTCACCACACAGCAACTCCCTAGCACTGCATTGTACATATAATATATATATAGAAAACACCATTGTGAGTTTCCCCTTCTCACCTCCATCCTTAGTGCGAGGTCTCCTACATAGTCTACGCTACAGTGCCCACTACAATACTATATTTCTGGAGTAGTAATTACAGTAAATATTTAAATTATTCACATACAAAGCACTTAGATTGATCATTTTAGTTTCATACGATCAGTTTTTCACCGTGTTAATACCCTGCAATTTCCCTCATCCTTCATGCCCTGCCCGCTACAGAAATACCCTCCTCCATACAAATGTTTGCGGACGATACCAAGTTATTTAGAGAAATTAAGAGCCAAACTAACTGTGAAGCACTGAAGAATGATCTATGTGAGCTTCAAGAATGGTCGAAGAAATTGCTGCTAAGATTCAATGTCAAGAAGTGTAAGAGAATGCACCTGGGACGTGCCAATGGGACGAAGAAACTGCATTAATAGAGACTAAATGTGAAAAGGACCTGGGTGTGTAAGTTGACAATGATCTGAAGTTTTCGGGCCATTGTGAGAAGGTGAATCAAGCAACTAAATTATTAGGTCTTATAAGAAGGTTGTTTAGATATCTAGATGATCCTTCCCTTGTAATGATTTTCAAGAGTGAGGGGTAAATTTATAGGAAAGCACCGTTCTTTCTTTGGATATTAAAAATATGGTTTTTAACGAGTTTCAACGAAATTTTATATTCATTTCATTCGTTTTTTTTATATACAGCCTAACAAGGGAAGATGTTGGGAAATTGGAGTTTGTGGTTGGGTAAATCACAGAAACAGGTGATTTTCAATGGAAAACGAGGCAAAAATCGTTCAAAACTCATCAAAAACCACAGGAAGAAACACATTTTTAATACTGAAAGAAACATAACCTAATTTAACCTACCCCTTTTTTCTGTGTAAAAAACAACATTAAAAACAACCCCAAAAGCAACCAAAAACAACCAACCAACCTAACCTAACCTCTGTCCCCACATCTTGCCTTAATCTGAAGAATCAGGCCAAATGTGTTGTGCTTCATGCAGTGTACGCTGATTATTACACTTTGGACAAGACCAGAAAATTGTGAGGTCAAACTTTTTGAGTGAGAGTTGTGAACTCTTGGAACAACCTGCCAGAGAGTTTTGTGACGGCACCGAGTGCGAGCTCTTTCAAGACCAGCACTGGAGCAGGTTCTGATATATTCAGGAGCAGGTGCATGCCCAGCACTTTCCAACAGTGCGTAACAGAGACGTAGCCAACTGCCCAAGCGGCTGAGCCAATCCGTGGCGAAGAGGATATCGGTAAAGATTTATGGTTGTAGATAGAGAAAATACTGTACTAAAAAAATAAAAAATACTTATATTTAAAATAAAAAGTTGTCACCTCTTTTAAAGTTCTTACTATAATAATAAGAACATCAGTGGAAAAAATTAACAAAATCAAACAACTTCTGGTGGTAGCAGTTTCCTCATAAATTGCCTTATTTTATTCTTAAGTTCTTGTTTACAGAATGTAAGTACTGCCTGGGAAGCCGAAGTGCCTGATTTTGGGACCTGTGCTGAGCGGACAGTGTTGGTGTGGCTGCCCTGCCTCCTTCTTTGGTTGTGTGCTCCTATCTACATCTTTCATCTTAAGAGCAGGCCCATTGACCCGGTGCCATGGACTGCAGTCAGCTATACAAAGATGGCGAGTTTTGTGATACACTAATAGAGTTTATATTAGCAATCTCAAAAAAGATTGTTAGTGGTGAGAATCAGGGATTTTCATAAATATTTTTACTCACATAAAGTTTAGCCTTCCAAGCTTATTTTATGTGATTATTAAATATCTTAATGCTTCCTGGTAGCTTAGAATAGGTTAGGTTATATTAGACCAGGATAAATTAGGTAATGTTAACCTTAGGGTAGTTAATCTTCAGGGGAGGTAAGCTGACGTGTCATAATTTTCATGTGTTCTGATTTTTTCTATGGTTCCCGAGTAACACTTGGATGATTCACCCTGAATGTATGTGTGTAGTGTGCCATCAATCAGGAAACCTGAAAGAAAAGAACAAGAAAGGGAAAGTAATTTTAAATTATCAGCTTTATATTGAATTGTATTAGCTGTACCCAGGTTTCATATTCAACTCAAGTCAAAGAATGATGGGTAAACAATCCTTGTCCTTTGTGACATGCATGCACCAGGCCAAGCAGATGTGTCATTAAATACAGTAATCGCCCTGTTTGCAGGAATACAGTAATTGGTGCAGAGCCGTTCCAGGTGGGAGAGATTTCCGGGTATGGAGACAAATTTTCTCATCCCCGGAAAAAATTGCACATCCCTGTAATTTTTTGGGTACTGATGAAAGTTTTCCGAGAGTCTAAAATATGAACTTAGGCAATGGCCGGTTGGAAATGTCATGTTTCAGGATAATTAAGTAGGTTTACTATTTTTGAGTGTAAGATACATTTTCATCAATCCACTAACTCATGCCAAGCATAAGCAATATGATGATGCAACTGAATAGTGGTGACAGCAGTAGAATATGCTTAGCACTATGTCAGGAACCTCAAATCCCAGGCAGTGTATTGAATGGCAACCCACATGAACTTGATGGTCACCTACAGGCTAGTTAGGAACCTCATGTTCCAAATGTTGAGGGCTTACTCAGTCTGATGTGAATAGAGATCCCAGTTTATCACTGACTTGGTCCATTCATGAATGATTATGCAAAATTATTCCAGTGAAAGTTAAGATGGATCACATTTAAAACCATTGACCAATATCCTCATATTTTAAGACATGAAGAGAACAGCAGCCAAGTGGATAAAATGCTTGTCTCCTCTCCTAAGAATGGACTTTTTCCTCTCCTTAATGAAAATAAACTGTGTTTCCAGACCCCCCCCATATGGTAAGAGGATGCACCCTCTCAAGGTTTTGGAGGTTGTTTTATGTGGCTCTCAGTGAATGATGTTGGAAAGCCCACACCCTCTCAGTGACCTTTCCTCATCTGCACTCCTGAAAAACTATGTACTGTACACAATTTTGGCTATAATCATAATAACACACCCCTCCATTTCTAAAATCCTGGCTAAACCAGAGGAAGTAAAGTGCAAATGATTATCTCTATTTGCAGTCACATCTGAAAGCCAAGACCAACTCATGCACTCCAAGCATATCAAGCTGGAGAGAGAGAAAAATTACTGTCCCTAAAGAAAGTTTATATAAAAGTTGGAAGGTTTTTCTTCACTTGATTGAAATAAAAATTGAGAAGATGCTCTTTTTTCCTCAGACAGTAGTATACTCATATAATGCCTGATAATACAGCAATGTTAATGGTTGTGCAGGCTCTCTTTAGTACCAATTTAGTAATAATATGTGCCATTCACAGATGGTGTCAGCTTTGCTAGTAATTGTGTGGGGGTCGGAGATTGTGTGGGCTGGACTCAAGGGCCCTATTGTTGTCCCAACAGCTGACTTCATAGCACCTATAGTCCTCTTAATAACTCAGGTATGATATATTATTACATAATACATATTACAGGTGCTGTATACAGGTATAGTATAAAAATACAGTATGAATTCATTATAAAATATATATATATATATATATATATATATATATATATATATATATATATATATATATATATATATATATATATATATATATATATATATATATATATATATATATATATATATATATATAGTATATATATATATACAGTATATATATATACATACATACACAGTGGTTCCTCGGTTAATGAGTTTTCGGTTAACGAGTTACCTTCCATAAGATTCTTAACTTCGGTTAATGAGCAATCCCTCGATTAACGAGTTTATTACGAGCCGACCTCCACATGTTTTAGCTTGCATTTGGCGGTCCACCAGCTGTAGTATTAGTCCGCCAATACAGTAATCGGTTCTAGTGCTTAAATTCCTTACCCTTTTACTAAATATCAAGAAGTTTATACTATTCAACAATTTGAAAAGTTTAATATTAAATTTTTTAGTCATTTTAACAATTATTGAACATAATTGGAGGTAGGGTCACTAGTTTGTGGCACGCCATCCAGCCTGCCAACACAGCATACAGGCGTCAGTCTTTGTGTCTTTTCAGTGGAGGTAACATCTTGTTTGAGACTCTCTTCAACTAAACGCTTTTTTCTGTGTTTGCAAGCAAATAATCTTGAATTATACCAAGAGAACTAAAATTTTATGGGTGAAATGGCACCATGGGGTGACTTCTCTTCCACCCCAATGCCTTCTCTTCTCCCTTCTCCTCCACCCCCATTCTAATTCCCATCATCATCATCATCATCATCATCATCCAGGAGCCTTCTAAATACACACCTCAAAGTAAGTGTACTTTTCTACCATTTTTGTTGAATTTAGGCAATTTTCGGTGAGCTGGAACCAATTACCCAAAAACCCATTGAAACAATGGTTTCGGTTAACGAGCAACCTTCTAGAACGGATTGTGCTCATATATATATATATATATATATATATATATATATATATATATATATATATATATATATATATATATATATATATATATATATATATATATATATATATATATACTGTATATATATATATATATATATATATATATATATATATATATATATATATATATATATATATATATATATATATACAATACACACACATTAGTGGGGTATGCTATAACGAACGTAATTGGTTCCAGAACCTCGTTCGTTATAGCATTCGTTCGTTATAAGATTAATCCTTTCCAGGCCCCCAAATACAACCACTTAACACTGAAAAAATTCTGTGGAAAATGTAAAAAATACGGTACTTTATCTTACCTTAGTGTTATTCAGCATGCAGGTACCCCTAAACACTGGCACATCACTATCACTTCCACTGGGAGTCTTGGCTTTAAGGTCCTCAAACAATTGTTTAGCCTTCTCACAAATTATAGCTTCACTAATGTTACCACCTGCCATTTCTTTCTCCTTTATCCACACTAAGAGTAAATTTTCCATCTCTTCAATCACATTACACTTTGCTTTGCTAAGTCTAAAGATTCCCTTAGCCACTTGCACAGTTTTTAACTCCTCTTTATTCTTCAAAATCGTACATATAGTCGATTTAGCCATCCCATATTCATCACTAAGTTTCGCAATGCTTCTTCCATTCTCACGTTTCTTTACAATTTCTTTCTTAGTTTCAAGGGTTATTAGCTTTCTCACTCGCTTTGAACGATTCATTGTTACAATTGTATACTTGTATAACAAAATAGTTATACAAATAACGCGAATTTCCACATCAAAAGACGAAATTTCAACAATAACAGTGGTGCACTGGCTACACAATGAGACAAAGATGGCGCCTGACGCTCTTGTTGTGGTCGCGGTACAACAAAATTCATGCGCCAGGCGAAGTAGTCCCGTATTCATCCGCGTTCGTTGTAGGAGTTGCGTTCGTTATAGCATTCTCAATTTTATAGGTAAAACCGTTCGTTATAGGAATATTCGTAGTATGATCCGTTCGTTATAGCATACCCCAATGTATATATATATATATATATATATATATATATATATATATATATATATATATATATATATATATATATATATATATATATATATATATATATATATATATATATATTTATATTTATATATATTTATTATTATTATTATTATTATTATTATTATTATTATTATTATTATTATTATTATTATTATTATTATTATTATTATTATTATTAAACTTGGTTTACGTTTAAATTACAGCACAAATAAAGTGTCAGTGCGCGAGAATGTTTTAATATTTCATTAAGGACAATTATATGTTATAATTTAGAACATTTCCATGCAAAAAACTGATGTTAGTTATTGATGTGAGACTAATGTTGTCCCTCAGGCACTGCATGTAATACTAGTTGCGTCGGATCACCGTCATGGTAAACGCACCAGTGGCCTACTCTGGTGCTTCTGGTTAAGCATGTTGATGTGTGGCATCCCACAACTCTACACTACAGTCATCACCACGGTCCATGGAGTAGGTCACCCTCATTGCCATTTTCGTAAGGTCCTCCCACAATCTTCCCACACCATTTCAGTGCTATTTTCCTCCCTTTGCATTAACATAAATCTGATACAGTACATAGTTTATCTAAATTCATAGACTAAATGGGTAAACACTGTAAAACTGATCCTCCTGAAATGTGAAAACAAACATGACCTATGTTAAGAGCCTTAATTAATATTAGTACTATGTCTGTGTTTTGAAAATATATTTCTTTTGTATTTTTATGTCTCACATTCTTCAGCACGGACAAACTGCAGCTCATATTTCCTTTCCTTCTTAGGTATTTCAGTAAATTAGGATAGGCCAACATAGAATATGCCAGTTTGAATTGATTATCAATTAGTTTTGTATAGGCTAGGTTAGGACTTCTTATGGAATACTTCAACAATTGTAGAACATTTCAATTAATATGGAGTAGTTCAGACAGTGTAGAGTATTTTAGTACTTCAGTAGTTTTGCTGTATTAGTAAGAGCTCATTTATTGTGCAGGATGGGAAGCTGCCTGCTGTATTAGTGGTCACCTTCCTGGTGCAGTACCTTTGCTGTCTGGCACTCTTCATCACAAACTGTATCTCTCATGCACCATCTAAGTTACAAAGTCTCTTTATGACTGAGGTAAGTAAAAAAAAGTATCCAGTCAGTTTTATCATTGTTTTTTCATTCCTTCCAATCTTTCTGCTACAGACATTCCCCAATTTATGAAAGGGTACCTTTCCTGAAAAAACTTTCGTAAATAATTTTTTTGTAAATAGATCACATTTTCCCAGAAACTTTTATGATATAACCTGAGAGTTAAAAAAAAAAAAACTTTCACAAAGCAAATTACAAAACATGTTTTTAATAATAATAAAAAATTGTGTACACAATTGCTACAGGTTTCCACTATTGATGGCAAGAGGACCTTTCCTCTGTATGGAAAGAAAAATGTATGTAGCTGGTGTGTAAAATGTGATATTGTATGGCAGTGAAATAAGGGAAATTAAAGTTGATAACATTAGCAGACTTGAGTGAGCTGAAATGAGAATGGTGAGCTGGATGTGCAATGTGACACTGAAAGACAAGAGACCCTGTTCACAGCTTAGAGGGCTGCTAGGTATTGAGGGTACTGTACAGTGTTGGCAAAGATCTGCATAGATACAGGCTAAGATGGTTTGAGCATATAGAGAGACTGGATGAGAAGACTAATTTGGTCAAGAGGTTCATGAACATAAATGTGTAAGGGAGGAGAACCAAGGGTAGGCCAAGATGACATAGGGAGAGGTTGTAAAAAATTACTTAAGAGTTTAGAATCTGACAAGAGAAACTGGAAGAGACTGTGCAGCAAGGAGAGCTGCTATCAGGTAGTAGAGGCTCACCCACACACAAGTGGAACATGGCCTAAAAAATGTTGATGATGATGCATTGAAATCAGGTGTAAACCATGTGAAAATTTTACAGTCTTGCTGTGGAAGGGGAAGAAAAACAGTTAGAATGTACGAATGACCATGAAGGAGTGGGGGTTAGTGTTGCTTACGATTTTGGTCAACCTATGTTGAAGCTGTGAAGAGATTGCACGAATAAAAAAATGCAATCTTACAATGATGGAGGTACGTGTATACAGTACACCTGTATATGTAATGCACTACAGTACTGATTACTGTATAGGTAACCAATACTGTATTACAGTATTTCCTTATGATTATACAAAAATAGTAGGTGTTAAAAGGTACTGAGGGAGATAAAGAAGAAGACTGTTTGTGTGTGGTTGGAGCACATAGGCATCATTAGAACCACATGTACAGTGTAAGAAATGCAACATTTTATACAATTGTTCTTTGACCTTATTACAGATAAATTTTAAAAATTTACCAACGTTTCAGAAAGCAAGTCCAAAGTTACAAGCCTCATTTCTGAGTCGTCTCTTCTTCTTATGGAATGCCCCCTTGATTTGGCGAGGTTGGCGGAACCCTCTCACCTTCCAGGACATGTGGGATGTGGTTCCTGAGGATTCTGCTTTATCTGTGTTTAACCTGTGGCAAGACACCATGGCCGGGTAAGACTCCAATCAGATTAAACAAATTTAATCAGATTTCTAGCATAGATTTAGGTGTAGAATGCAGGTCCATTAAATCCCAAAAGATAACTATTATATATCTATTGCCTTTACTTAGATATGAATAAAAATGCACATTTATCTTCACCTTGTAATGTACCAATAATCATTGGTACAGTATCCAAGGTTTCCACCAGTTTGTTTAAGGTACAGTGTAGGAATACTCAGGATTGCTCTCATTTCTATTTTTTTTTGCACAAAGTTACATGAATTGCAAGCAGTTACCTGCTTCTTAATTGCTTAGAAACGTTGACCAAGAGTTTAACAGAAGTAAAGGTTATTAATGTCTCTTGTATATTAGTACCAATTGAAATTGTTTCTGAACTTTTTTAATTTGCAATTTGAAGTAAAAGTTTTATTCATAAAGTTTCACCTATGTTAATGCCTAGCATTAACTTGCCAGGCCAACATACAGGCAATTAAAACATCTAATAATTACTTAAATACGTAATATTAGGAGGACACGTCGCTACCTGGCATTTAATTGCAATTCTCAAAACCCCCTTTTTGCATTCTGCTCCTGTTAATTCCACATTGAACTTATTACACTAGAGGATACTTTATAGCACTTTATTTTTTAACCACTTATCACTTTACTAGCTGTTCAGGCGATTGGTCTAGCCAGTGTTACTACAGAAGGAAATGGGACCAGGAAACCTGTGATGTTTGGTATGGTCACACTGGATAACACCCTTCTTGCATGTGTCTGGACCGAGGGTCGAACCCGTGACCATATTGGTGAGAGATACACTCTTGCCTCTCACCATTGCAATTTTAGATAACTTTCTATTGAGTCAGATGGGTGAAGGGTGTTGTCCAGTGTGACCCATTTGAACATCACTGGTTTTCTCCTGCTTCCATACTGTACTATGGTTTCTTTCTGTACAGTACTTCCATTGGAGGTGGTCTTATCAGCATCCCCAAGGAGGCCAGTTAGTCATAACTAAGTGTTCTCCAGTATAAATACAGTACTGTACACTACAGAGTAGAATATTGAAAATCCATCATCCTTAGTACCAAACATTATGTGGATTTTGGATTATAATGTATTTTAAATATGACCACTAATTGTGGATTGGACATATAACTTTAACAACATTTTATTTAATTACCGGTAATGAATGTTATAATATTTTGTTTGTAATACTGTATTTGTAAATATATACTGTATGTACTCTACTTTATAACACATTAATAAGTATTTGATATATTGTACAATACTGTACTTTACCTGTAGTTAATTTACAGTACAGTACTGTACTTAAAGAAAATTTGTGCACCAATTTGATGGCAATCTTGAGTAGGCTTAACCATAGATCATGGGAGTTCACAATTTATTTATTTATTTACTATATTTTTATTGATTTACTATAATTTTTTTTAACATCCTACATCTTATATTTTAATCAATTAGTCAACATTATGCACACGGTTTACCTAATTAGGTAATGTCATAATGAATGGCTTTTGTTTGCATATACTGTACTGTACAGTACAATACTGTTGCATAGTAGTTCTTTATGGGCATTAATGCACAAATTCTTGTATAATAAGAGTCAGGAATGTCTTGTTAACACTATGAATTGAAAAAAATATTTAGCAAACCTTTTTTTATGAAGTAGGAAAATATTTTTTATTTATGCACAGGTACAGGTATAATTTAAAATTTTGTTTGGTAGTCAGGGATTATCTTTAAGTTTCTATTGAATTGTGTTTAATATTATTAAATCAATTCTTTATGACTCTCACTGTGAGAATCTTCAGGTCAGTTGTTTGAAAAATATGTTCATAAATATCTCATAAAGCCTTTATGACATTCAGGGGAAAATCTTCTCACAAGTTACTTAAAATGAAGCAAAATATCAAGAAGAACAGCTTCACTATCACATCTGTACCTCAACACATGGGCCTGTCGGTGTTATGGAGACTTTGGATAATGATACGGAGGTCTTTGATAGGTTCCTTCGTAATTTACCTTATTTCTGAGGCCTTACGTTTCGTCACTCCAAAACTTCTCAGGTGATTTTGGTTTAGTATCCCAAGTAATGTTCCAATATTCTCTTTTTTACTTACCTCTTAAATTTTCCTCTTCCCTTTTCACACTATTTTTGTGATCACAGTTTGTTTATCTCATCTGTTACTCACTCTATATAAATATTTACACTTTCACAAAGTGTCTTATATAACACTTGCAACATTCTCCCTCATGGGGCATTTCTTTCCTCCTTCCATGTACAGTACATAGTTCTAAAGTGTAAACGGTATATCTCCAATGTTTCAAATCTTGTTTTTCAGTATTTCCTTACCTCTGAGCTTACCCTAACCTGCTTTCTGCCCAACACATTTTGCTTTAGAAATATTTTGTCCAGTTTATTGTACCATTTGTATCACACAAAAAATGAACTGTACCTTTACTATTGGTTTTCAAAGTACTGTACAGTACTGTATTCACTGCAGCTTCCATTAATTATTTAAAAGACATTTGAACCTTGGTTCCATATTCAGTACAGTATCTCAATTTTAATAGTACGGTGATCATCATAGCACATATTCAGTATTCAGTTAGAGAGGCTCAACTCACTTTCTTGTGTAAAGATACATTTACATATTTAAATTGTATTCATTAATTGTACAGTAGTCTGTTTCTAAATGTTTATTTCCAATAGACCTTCACACTACCCAGTTTGGTTGCAAGTTTAGTCTCATAGGATGTGATATATATATATATATATATATATATATATATATATATATATATATATATATATATATATATATATATATATATATATATATATATATATATATATATATATATATATATATATATATATATATATATATATATATATATATATATATATACATATACATACATACATACGTTATTACATACATGTTCTCCTGCTAACGAACTCAATCTGTTCCAGAAGGTCGTTTAAACCGAAACCATTGTTTCAATGGGTTTTTGGGTAATTGGTTCCAGCTCACCGAAAATTTCTAAATTCAACAAAAATGGTAGAAAAGTTCACTTACTTTGAGGTGTGTATGTAGAAGGCTCCTGATGATGATGATGATGATGGGAATTAGAATGGGGGTGGAGGAGAAGGAAGAAGAGAAGGCATTGGGGTGGAAGAGAAGTCACCCCATGGCGCCATTTCACCCATAAAATTTTAGCTCTCTTGGTGTAATTCAAGATTATTTTCTTTAAATCAACACTGCACTGCATTATATATTGTCAATATAAAAATATATTTCAAAATGACCAATAATTTGCTTGGAAACACAGAAAAAAAAAGCGTTTAGTTGAAGAGAGTCTCAAGCAAGATGTTACCTCCAGTGAAAACAGAGAGAGACTAACGCCTGTTTTGCTGTGTTTAGAGGCTGGATGCCGCATTAAACTAGTCACTTTACCTTCAATTATGTTCAATAATTGTTAAAATGACTAAAAAATTGAATATTAAACTTTTAAAATTATTGAATAGTATAAACTTCTTGATATTTACTAAAATAGTAAGGAATTTAAGCCCTAGAACCGATTAATGTATTGGCGGACTGATACTAAAGCTGGTTGCCCGGTCAGTGCAAGCGAAAACATGTTGAGGTCGGTTCGTAAGAACTTCGTTAACCGAATTTTTTTTCGTTAACCGAATTGAAGATCCTTATGGAAGGCAGTTCGTTAACCGAAATTACTTTAACCGAGGTGTTCGTTAAACGAGGGGTCACTGTATATATATATATATATGTATCTAACACAGTCATTGATAATATTACAGTTTGCTCATCTCCTTCATCACCAACAAGACAGAGCCTATGTGGCATGGATACTTATATGCAGTGATGATGTTATTGATTTGTGAGTGTGCAAGTATAGTCAAGAATAATTTCTTCGACATCGCTCTCATCCTATCTGTCAGGGTTCGCTCAGCACTTATGTCTGCTGTCTATGCAAAGGTATGAACGTTTTACTTCAATTTTCAAAAAGACTTTGTGAAACATGTACTGTACAGCAATACAGAACTCAGTTTTTAACAGACAATTAAATTCTTCAAAAGCTGCTTAAATTTTCATAGCCGAGAAACATGTATTAGTAACATACACTGAAACATAGAGGTAATTTCTGTGTCATTTTCTCTTTGTAATTCAAATGCTAATGGAAATACAAGTATTACTTGGTCTCTTTACTTCAGGCTTTGAAATTGTCTGGGTCTGCTCGGCGGGAGTCAACTCTGGGTCAGATAGTGAACCTGATGGCTGTGGATGCTCAAATAATTGGGGATACAGTGTTGCAGATATATGGTTTGCTGTTTGCACCCCTGATCATCCTGGTGTGTCTCATCCTCCTCTGGCAGGAACTTGGTATGATAATCACCACCCAACAGTGATACAGGGTGTTTACAGTCACATGATGTTTGTGTTTACAGAGTACTGTACCTTGAAAAATTAAACATTCAAAACTTTGGTATGTAGTCCATTATCTTCTGCACATAAACACATTTTTTGCCATGTCTGCTGTAACGTTTTCCATAGACCTGCAAGCTGTATTGAAAATAAGAGCAAATGTGGAAGCCTTGGATTTTCTTAATGAGGTGCAGGTATCTATATACATCTTCATATATTAGTGATATATGAGGAGCTGCAGTTGAGGCATTAACTAACAGTGGCAAATATTTGGTAATGTGTTTAACAGTGATACAATTTTGTTTCTAAATTGTATAATAATTCTAGTAATATGTATAAAATAGTGTAGTAACTAATAATTGTACAGTGAACCCTCACTTTACGCGGTTAATTCAACCCACGGCGGCCCGCGTAAAGTGAGAAATGCGTAAAGTGAACAACATAACATATGGGATTAATTGAAATAGAGACCGGGCCGACCCCCAAACTCCACTTTTTCAGACACAATACCTACGTTGTAGTAAAAATAACTTCTTAATTTTATGATGGTATGCACACACAATTAATAATTAAGAGAAATATCAATAATATTAGGTTTTTTAACACTTCCATTAGTAGAAAAGATGGCTGGGCACACGGTGATGGGGGGTTGGTTCCGAGGCAGAGGGCAGATTATTGGCCCTCACCTGTATCACTTGTATCAATTGTATCACTATCCACCACAGAGGCTTGCAGGGCCTCTTTGTCAAACCCCTCAAAGTCCATATAAGTCCATATCCTCACTATCATTATCACTATCACTGACTTGGGCCGGCTGTTGCGGGTGGCGGGTGAAGAACTCGGTAATGTTTTGATGACTGGGCGACCTTGTGCACACCCTGCTCGCACCGCTCTCCGCGTAAAGGGGTACACGCACCACGGAAAGTGAGCATTCCGGTTTCGGCAGGGTACCGCGTAAACGTGGAAACGCGTAATGTGGGACCGCGTAAAGCGAGGGTTGACTGTAATTTAGTATTAGGTACAGCTGGGGAGACCATTATATGCACAGGTACTTACATGGTCTTTTAGGTGTTCTTACTTGTTCCCCCAATCGTTATTGCATGCATTCTGTGTCATTAATTTTCATATGTGAATATTACTCATGGTTGTTTTATTGACAGGCCCCCTTCACTAGGTGACTCATTTAATGCCCCACTAGGCTGTCAGTCTATGCACAGGAGACTGACATTTGTGGCAAGGACTAATCTTATGAGTAGTCTAGTCCTTTATATTTGAAAACATCACCCTGAAAGGGAGAATAGAAGAAAGTACAGGTATTGTATTAAACTAAAGAGAAGAGGCCTGACAAGCTCATTATGTTACATCAGCAAAGTGTACACCTCACCATTCTCAGCTTGACACAATGGCTCCCAGAGATCATTCTCCATTGATTCATGGTCACACACTCGCACCAATCAAGTTCTCACACTGCTTTCATTGTATTTTTGTGGATAAGTTCTTTGTATCATCATTTTAAGCAAGTTTATGGTGGTCTTGGGTGACCCGCACAGATCTTGGTGTTATTAATTAGATAATTTTTTATTGTGTTTTGGTTATAAAGCATGTGTTGCGATAAATGAGGACTGAATACTCATAAGGTCAATCCCAGCCACATGAGATTACTTGTTCTAGACTTGGGAAAAAATTGGAATATCAGGGCTGTACATTATTCCTCATAGTTGTGGTAATTTACAGGGCCATCTGTGCTAACTGGGTTGGTTTTCATGCTGCTCATCATCCCCATCAACAGTGTTCTGGTGAACAAGTCCAAGTTAATTCAGGAGGAGACAATGACCATCAGAGACAAGAGAGTCAGGATGACTAGTGAAATTATCAATGGCATTAAGGTAGAGAGAAAAGGCAGTGGAAGCGTTGCTGTATCATATAGGTCTTTGAACACTAATATATTACTAATAAATTGACTGACATTCTGAGTGACTAACTTACTTACTTATTAACACACCATCTTTTGCTAACCCAGTTCATTGGCGATTTTTTTTTTTACTTATATTACACAGTTTGTAGATAGCAAGCCCAGAAGGGATAAAGTGACTTATGATCATAGAAGCCAAGTTATGAGGGTCGAGGTCAATGTGACTCATGTCTAGGAGGCCATAGTCTGTCGGGGAGGCTCCTGTGCTTGGCTTTGAGTCTAAATTTCATAAATCAATCAATCAATCCATAGCCTGTGGGGGTGAGGCCAAGGGAACCAAAGCCAATGTGCCCAGGATCAAAGTGGTCAGGATCAAGGACCCAAGGTATATATAATTATTATTAAATTTTTGAAGGTGAAATGATGCAATTAATTATCTTATAACATCACGACCAGGGTGGGAACACTGGATTTTTTTTCTTTTCTGCATACAGCACAAGCCATCTATCATTATGATGTGCTGTGACTGGGCAGATGTGAATTCCCCGTTTCTTAGCATTCAGCGGCAAGAGGATTACCATACCCCTTTGTCAAGATGCTAGGCCACTGAATGACTGTTTCACCATTGGCAGACTCGCCTGATAATGTATTCATCTATTGCTGGGAGCACAAGGGCTAGTGTACAAAGATGGAACCACTACTCTAGTCAAGAATATCTAACCATTTTTTTTCAATCTCTCTCTTTCTTGTCTACAAATCTTTTCCTGCTTATGCAAGGTGGTCAGACAGGTGCAAATCCTCTAATTCTTAGAACATATCCACATTTTTAAGGGTTGATTAAAAAATGTTTGAATAATGTGTTTACATTTCACCTACCTATATTTGTCAAAATACACTAATTATTTGAATAATAATGTTCATATTTAGTTTTTCTCTCTCAGGTACTAAAACTCTACGCCTGGGAGGGTTCTTTCGCTGCTAAGGTGGAGGAGGTGCGCAAGAAAGAAATGAAACTTCTGACAAACTTAGGAATTTTGCAGTCAATTAATTCATTCATCTTCAATGTCACTCCATATATGGTATGTTATGGGAGACTTCAAATATTATGTCTAGAACTGTACTTATAAATATGGTTATAGGTATAGAATATATATATATATATATATATATATATATATATATATATATATATATATATATATACACACACACACACACACACACACAGAATGGTCCCTCGATTAACAAACGGTCCAATTAAAGAAATTTCGGTTAACGAATTAGCACCTATAAGGATTTTCAATTCCATTTACAAACAAAACTTCGATTAACGAAAGCCTTACGAGAAACACGCTTTGTTGTGCGCATCAGCTGATCGGCTAGTCCGCCAATACAGTACTGTAGTTTGTTCTATGTTTACATTCGTTTTCAGTGGAGTAAATATCAAGAAAGTTGTGTTCTTGAATATTTTTTCATTTTTTCTATTAAAATTATTGGTCATTCTAATTTAGTTAACATATTGATAATATATACAGTACAGGGAACAGTTTTTGTGTGCCAATCAGCTGATTGAATCACCCACCAACGCTTCTCAGTTTAACTTTGTTTACAGTGGAGTGAACATCCAGTTTGATGGTCTCTTGAATATTTTTTGCATTTTTACATTAAAATTATTGGTTATTCTGAAATTTAGTTCAAATATTGATAATATACAGTGCAGAAATTATTATGAAACATGAAGAAGGCATTAGAACCAATGCACTTTGTCTTGTTACGGAAACTGAGCAATTAAGAAGGCAAATGTCTTTTAAGTTCAAGTTCCTTTACTTTAACTTTTACATTTATTTTAATCTTAAAATTTTAGTGATTTCTTTACCTGTGTGTGTCTAGGGGCTTTTTGATTGAAATTATTTAGTTATAATCCCTTGTAAAACTTATGCTCAATTATGTAATAAATGGCAATCTGTTTGTATTGTGAACTTTTCTAGTTATTAATTAAGTTTTACTGTAGGTTTAGTTATTATAGCATTACTTTCCTTAATTGAAGATTTGACACCGCATTCATGGTTAACATGACAACACCCAACACAGTATAAATAGTAGAAAGTGAAAAATATGCAAGTGATTTTTATATAATATTCTTAAAACAAAATCAACACAAAACACACATACAAGGGTGAAAAATAATGAACTCAGCTGTACTAATACACGTTACAAATATCTGGCCAGTAGATCCCGTGATGCACAAGTAGTGCAGGTAACAGTCGTTCAATTTTCACGACAGAGTAGGCAGGGAGAACAAGTAGCCAAGGTGGTGGGAGTAGAACTGATTTGGTATCCCAGGGTTAGAGTAGACATCACCTGTCATAGATGACGCCCCCAACAGCCGGCGATGGTTTTCCACCAATCACGGGTCATCTCATGACTCGTTCTTACAAGTTTACTGCTGGTTAACTAGTGGTTTTGGTTGTGTGAAATAAGCTGTGCAGATAAAGGTGACAATGCAGTGTATATACATGAAGTGTGACCCTTTTATGTTACAGTCTTAACTGACTTTAGATGTCAGGATGATTAGTAGCACCAGTGCAGTAGAAGCTGGAAGTTAGGTCATCAAATAACTTGTTTTCCAAAAAGGGTTTTTGGTGGTCTGGCTTGTGTATGTACAGTATGTCCATGTTCTGCCATCAAGGACATAACTCCAACTTGGCCTTTACAGCCAGTTTGATTTATTATTTATAGTACATTATCACTTTTTCCTTGAGAATCTAATTTATTGCTTGATCCTTTACATAAAATTTACCTTCTTATCTAAAGCATCATGAGCTCACATTCGGTGCCAAATTGTGGCTTTGAAATGTCCTTTCCCCTTTAGTCTGCCATAAAAAATTCATCTTGTTTTATAATATAGAATGTTTTTGTATTTCTGCAGGTGGCACTGGTTACATTCACCACATACCTGTTAGTGTCAGAGGACAATATACTTAATGCTCAGAAAGCCTTCGTCTCTCTCTCACTCTTCAACATAATGCGCTTCCCCATCATCCAAATGCCAACAGTCATCTCCCAGATAATTCAGGTACGTAGTATTAGTAAGTTAAGTCATCATTTAGAAATGTTTTTGCTGACACTTTCCATGCCTGGTAATACTGTATATTCAAATTTGATTATATCATATGCTTACATTAAAGTACACATGTGTATCTCAGTGTGTATATATATGTATAAGTATAATTATAGCATGGTTTAGGTAGACTTATCTCAGTGTGTGTATATATATGAGTATAATTTTAGTATGGTTTAGATAGACTAATCTCAGTGTGTGTATATATATATATATGAGTATAATTATAGTATGGTTTAGATAGACTAATCTCAGTGTGTATATATATATGAGTATAATTATAGTATGGTTTAGATAGACTTATCTCAGTTGGTATATATATATGAGTATAATTATAGTATGGTTCAGATAGACTCAAATAATGGGTAGCTATACACTCTATATTCATCGATATCCCTCATCAAGGCAAGTGTATCACTGGTGAGAATGGAGAAGTACTTGTCTGCTGATGAATTGGATCCCTTTGCTGTGTTGAATGATACTTCTGGATGTAAGTACTGTACTGTACATATTTGTAATAAGTATAACCACAAACTACTGGATATACCGACAACTTAACTACTAATGGTAAATTCACGTTGACATTGTTTTTATCCGATAGTTTAAATTCTGTATGTTCTTAGGGGTACAGCAGCAAAGGGGATACAGCGCTTGTCTCCTGTCATAAAGGTTGCTGACAAAATTTTAATTTGTAATTCCCTTTAAAATAGTTGGCAAGCTTAAAAGTGAGAGTTTTGTGGTGCTGAGAAGAAAAAGTGACACCCATTTTAGATCTTCTATGTATTATTTAATCATTTTCGTCTTACGACCATTTCAACTTACGACCTGGATTTGGGTCCTTAACCCCGTCTTAAGTCGGGGTGCAGCTGTAGTCCAGAATGTGACTTCTAGCTTTATACCTAGGTATGTAAATGTCTAGCATTAACTCGCCAGGCCAACATACAGGCAATTAAAACATCTAATAATTACTTAAATACAAATATTAGGAGGACATGTCGCTACCTGGCATTTAATTGCAAATTTATATTCTTTATTCTGAAATTTCATAATTTCATATGCTTATTATGTACAAAATATATATATATATATATATATATATATATATATATATATATATATATATATATATATATATATATATATATATATATATATATATATATATATATATATATATATATATATATATATATACACGTATTGTATATATATATAAAACTACAGTATCTTAGAATACTAAAGCAATCTGTCGGAGACATACATCATTGTGATTCCTTGCAGCTAGTTCTGTGGTGGTGCATGGAGGAGAGTTTTGCTGGGATGGTGATGAAGGGAACATCATTTGGCACCTGCGAGATATAGATGTTGAGGTTGAGTGTGGCCAGCTGATGGCAGTAGTCGGACCTGTTGGAGCAGGCAAAAGCTCTTTCATGTCTGCCTTATTAGGTGAAATGAAGAAGACTGCTGGAAGAGTTGCTATCAATGTAATTCTCTTTTACTATTTAAAATGTATGAATAATGGAAAATATGGTTTTTTAAAAATTAAATCAGTAAATTTTATATTTTTTACTTATTTTTTAGTTATACTGTACAGTATTAAGTACAAGGATCTACATTTGCTTCTATAATAATTTTTTACAAACATATTTATAATAGGGGAGTCTGGCATATGTTTCCCAACAAGCTTGGCTCCAAAACGCAACCCTGCGCGAAAACATCATCTGGGGCCTACCCTTCAACAGGAAACGCTACCAAAAAGTAGTTAGGGCATGTGCTCTCCAAGCCGACCTGGATATGTTGCCTGCAGGGGACATGACAGAGATTGGAGAGAAGGTAATTTTATGTATGCAAATAAAGTTGGTTCATGCTTCAAGATTTAATGAGTACTGTAGTCGAAAATATACAATAGAGCATCTCCATTTTGCTGATCATTGCTGCACAAAATGGCTTATTTCACATTCAAATGTATATACAGACTGACCTGCATCAAATTAGCCAAAAATACAAACAAACATATTGGTTAACATATTTTTACTCATATTTATTATGGGAATTAGAGAAACATATACAAACACTTCGTGGTGAGTACAGATACAGCATCTCATTATTAATCCCTTCATGGTGAAAAACAAAAATGCACTTGTGTTTAGCACAGGAAGTAAATTTGAAAGATATTGTAGTACTGTACTGTACTGTATAGGCATGAGACTGTTTTTGTCAAGACAGTACAGTGTTGTGCTTAGACAAAACTTTTGTGAAGAACTGAATTTAGATATCTAATACAGTATAAACAAATGTTAAGAATTATCCTTGAAAATCTATAACAGAAATAATGGTTGGTGTGAGGTACTGTACTGTACTCACTATCATTATTCTTATTATTACAAGTAATAATGCTTTTATTATTATAGGTAGTCTTCATTTATCACATAATTTTATATCACAGTTTTTATTTTTTATTTTATTTTTTTATTTTTTTTTGTGACCAAAGTACAGTACTGTATTAAATTATTGCTGCGTTACATTTTATTGTATGCTAAAGTGAGAAAATTTCAAACCAAGCATGCAAATCAACAAGAAACTTTTAAATGTGCTGAGACATGTAGCAAGGGGTGTTTACATGTGTTTTGAGTTACTATATTTCTTTACAAATTGTATTTTTTAAATTTTATTTTATGTATACAAATATTTGTACTGTACTGTATATTATGTATTTATTTTTATTTATTTTTAAGTGTTCATGTATCAAAAGTCGGTCCAAGTATTGTACTGTACAATCAAAATCCTGGCCAGGAATGCATCCATCTTAATACAGTACAGGACATTGTTTTGAATGCTGCAGTTTTGAACATCACAAGGGTTTCAGGAATATATTCCATACACAAGTAGAGTATTTGTTTCTTAAGTGACTGGTCATCATTCCTTCCTTTACATTAGCCCTAGTGCACTCAGTTGTAAATTAGTACACTACTTTATTTGACAATCATGCTGTGAAGGGGGTGAATAACCGACTAGCTGCTGCGTGTTAAAAATCAGAAGACCAACTCCTGTTTGACTACTATGCAACATAACAGTGAAAGGCATGTATGCATGAAGAAAAAAAAGTTTGCCTATGATGACTTAACACATTTCAGACAAATTGTATTTCCTCCATAGGGAATCAATATAAGTGGTGGACAGAAGCAGCGTGTAGCCCTGGCCAGAGCAGTTTACAGTAACTCAGAAATTATCTTACTTGATGATCCTCTCAGTGCTGTTGATGCTCATGTAGGGAGACACCTCTTTGAACAAGTCATAGGACCTCATGGTGTACTGAAGGGCAAGGTGAGTGTTGTTGATCCATCTCTATGAAGATACATGTTTTAGCCCAGAATATCAGATAAGAGGCTTTGATTATATACATTACTATAATATAATACCGGATATGTGGATGGTATACCAACAGACACGTGTTTTGGTGACCCATTCTGTAACAGTGCTGCCACAAGTTGACTATGTGGTTGTGATGAAAGATGGAAGGATGGTGGAAAAGGGCACTTATGACCAACTTGTGTCCTCTGGTGGAGAGTTTGCTCAGTTCATTGTACAACATTTAAATGACATGGGTGATGAAGATGTCAAAGAAGGTATGTTCTTAAAATTTAGTGGAATTATAAAAAGTGGATGTCATTTAGTGATAATTATGATTTCTCTCAAAGCTACTGGCTGTAGACTTTAGTGTATTGACTGTATTCAATGAAGAGTTGTGTGTAAAGGGAGCATTTTGTTAGGCTTTCATTCCTGTTACTGTAATCAGAATTTATTTAATTTTTTGGGGTGTTATTTATGGTTTACAAAGACCCAAAGTCTTTCAGTAATACAGTACCACATTTTACAATTACACTAGAACTTGTAATTACAGTACTAGGTTATGATACTACAAATTACTTTCATGACTGTCATATATAAAGGAAGTTTACATACAATAGTGCTTAGACAGCAAATGGGACAGATAGGATTACAATTATATATGAACAGAACTTCCCTTGCACATTGAAGTTAATGAAACCCTTTTTTTTCCTTAATAGTGTTTGAATTTTCTGACCGTAACATGCTGAAGGTTTGATACTACCAACTTAGATTTTGACAATTGTACTGTACTATAATCAAATTAACTTGGCAACTGTGTCCTGCCCCCTCCTCACAGCCACCCCTGGTTGGTTGAAGTTATGGTCTTCTTTTTGGTCATTCAATGGCTCTTCATTATTTGATAAATTTTTCTTTTCATTCTATATATTCTTGCAAATCAACTGTTCAATTATCTGAAATAATTTCAGAAAATGAGGAGATGAAAATTAGTGCATTGAACATCTTAACCCATCATGTACTGTACAGTATATGAATGTAAATCACTAACTGGTTTGTCCAATTTGATCAGTGACTTAGAAACACACCTTAGAAATTAAAATATTTGCCATAAATTTTCATCCTATGAGTGTCATATTTTAGTGCATCATAGTGAGAGGCCGACACTCCCAATGTAAGAAACCAATTAGTGTTCAGTGAGTTAGGTTGGGTAATGCATAGATGAAATAATTTCAGTGTTCTCACCAGGCAAGCTGTCCCGTGAAATCAAATCTCCTATCACACTCAGTGCCTCCCTGCACTCTCGGTTTTCTGTGTTTTGATTGTAAAATACATAGTGCATTGAGTGTTGCTCCTGTTATTCATATTCATGTACGGTACCTTATTTTTGTGGGAAGTATGAAGTGAGTGGTTGGATTTCAATATTGTTATTCTGAAATACTGTATTGCATGATGTGAAATATATCATAACACAATGCAAAAACCTTCATGTATACTCCTCCTCCTACCCCATCCCCCCTCCCACACCTCCCCAGTTCATGATGATTGCAGCCTCCCAAGGAAACGTGTTGTATTTTTCCACAGGACAAGACATATATTGGTTTATTTACTTTTGTGTGGTTTAATTTGGGTTTATTTTTTTTTTATGCAGGTTTTTATAAAGTTTTAGTGTCATTGTGGTTTATATAATAATCATACATTTTAAGGTTTTATGGTTTCTTATGCTTGGGGGGAAGGTTATTTTTGGTTTGCATTGGGTGTAAAATATCAGTGTTTTATTGTTTGTTTTCTGATTTTTTGTAGTTTATGTGAAAGCTCAAGCTATTATGAAGCCAATACTGTAATATCAATTTGACGTGAAAATATAGAGCTTGGAGAAAAAAAGCATGTGAGGAATTTCTCTGTGCATAAAGGGCACAAAACACTGTATGGTGAGATTGAAAACTTGTAAAAAGTGATGAGTAACTTTCTGTTATTTTGATCATCAGGAGGTCCTTGTATCTCTATTGTGACACTTAACCCAGGGTTTCATCTGGGACTGGTGAACATTATGATTCTTGCCTTCTCAGGTGTTCTCCACCCATCCGCCACCCAATCACATTTATTGTCATTCACACTCGGGGGCAGAGCATAGCTGCCAAATTAATTTGATTTTAGTATTGTACCGTGACACTGAGAATGGCATACATTATTTCATTTTCTAACTGCAGAGCTGGATGAGCTGTATGAGCATCTGGAAGGTGTGGCAGGGGGAGAACCTTTACTTCAACAGTTGTCTCTCAGGAAAAGTAGCATCAACATTACCAGGTGAGAAATTGCCTTTTTTTCCCTACCACTTACCAACTTACTAGCCATTTGGGCAGTCAGTCTGTTCTTAGTACAGGAGGAAACTGGAGTACCTAGAGAAAAACCTGTTATATTTTGTAGAGATACACTGGAGAACACCCTTCTTATATCTGTCATGGGCTGGGAATGTAAACCAGGACACAGTAGTGAGGGGCAAACATACTATACTGCTGTACCACCAACATGAGCCTCTGTAACATACTAACAAAAAACAATTGTAGGCACTCCTACAATAAACTAAAGCATTGCTACTTTAATTCTTTTTATTTTAGGCATGTTCAGAATTGGAACAAAGAAACATTGGACAGGCAAGTATGAAATTGATCTATAGTTACTGAAGTTGGTGGAATCATTACCATATACATTATGTTTATGTGAACATTAATTGTCACTAAAGTGAATTGGATGCAAAATTAGGATAATGGAATATGTTAATTTTACCGCCACACCTCCCCGTCAAGCACTGTAGTGTGGTGCCATTCGTGACTCAATTTTTTTTAAAACTCAGGTTCATACCTGACTATCCTCTTCACCGGAAGGGGGTGATTGAAACTCCAACCATTAATGCATTAGTAACACCTCTTTTTAACCAGTATGTTTTACCTGATGAATCTGCTGCCCTTGAAAGTTGTCTGTAAGCATCTTCCACAAGACATTCAAGTATTTTCTAATAATACTATATTGGCCTAGGTCTTGAATACCAAAAAAGAAGTAAGATATTTAGTATGTAAAGTCCCAGCAATGCACACTAGAAAACAGTATTGTAGTGTTCTATTAACCCATTAATGGTCTCTGATGTAAATTATGTCAGCCCTTGTCATACGCTAATTGGTCACTGACATACTTTATGCCATGTTAAGCTAATGTTCCGTTTGTTTTGCTATGGGCTCCTATGAGTCTAGATCTGTAGAATAACTCATTTAATATGACTTGGCAACTCATGGCTATAAATAGGCCACAAAAACAGAGACAAGGCAGAGTGTGTGTGTGTGTGGTGAAGGGAGTAGTGTCATGTTCCTGCCTTCCACATTGCAGTGTTGCCGCTTCTCTCAGTGAAAACTTTCTGGATGCTATCTGACAAGCAACTTTGTGCCTCCAGTGTACATAGTGCATATATAGAATATATTATATACAAGGGGTCCTCATTATAAGTGGTTTTGCACTTAAGTGGTCAAATATTTGTGAACATACAAGTAAAAAGTCCCCGCAGTTAAGAGGATTCTAAGGCTGAAATCCATCAATGTTTGGGAGCACAATCGTTTGAAATTCGCTCTTAAAGGTCATCCTTCTCACCTGTGCTATGCATGCTCAGTACCAGTCACCTGAGTCCACAGGCATTATTTTGAAGTGCTCCAAGAACTATAATTATCAACTTTGCTCTGTCTTTGATGACATTGGTGGACTATTTTTGTAGCCAAAGCAAAGTGGTGTAGTGGCTAAAAGGGAGTGTAATAGCTATGGGATGGACATGAAATTAGAAGTTACTTGTCAAAAGGAAAGTGAGGGGCGCCGGTGGTAGAAGCGGTACCGCTCTTGCCTCGCAAGCGAGATGTCACGGGTTCGATTCCCGGGCCGGTGGAAAAGTTGATTGGACATACTTCCTAGTCCTCATTGGTCCCTGTTCACCTAGCAGTAATGTAGGTACCTGTTGTAAATCGAAAAGTTGCGAATTCGTATTCAGGGAAAGTTGTCGGAGCTTCCAATAACTTGATGACATAAACCATTGACTCTTCAGGCTTCTACGCCCTTGACTCTTCAGGCTTCTACGCCCTTGACTCTTCAGGCTTCTACGCCCTTGACTCTTCAGGCTTCTACGCCCTTAACTCATGAGACATAAAGGCGAGCATGAACTTAGCATGCTTCCCTGTTGGGAGCTGTAAACGCTTCTGCGCTTCACACAGGATGTAAGGGGGTGCCCAATAAAAAAAAAAGAGTGGTGAACATGTCTCAATGAACCACTTTCACTGAACTGAGTGTGAGAGTGCATAGTTAGGTAGCTTGCATCTCACCAACACACGACCCCAAACGACTTTAAGTACATTAGATAAGTTGTAAAATAAAATAATTAATAAAATAATGTGTAATCAAATGTTTCTAAGATATATTTATATAAATGTTAAAAGATACCAAATTAAACTTTATGAGTGTCACTTGCAATGTAATGGGCCCTTATTAAACCCTATTCCTATTAATTCTTATGGGAATTAGTTCCCCTTTATAATTGTTTTCATTATTTATTAGTGGCATTTTTCTTGTCCATATTAACCACTTATAATGAGGACCCTCTATAGCTATATTGAAAAGTAAATAATATAAGGAAGTAGAAGTGGTAGCAGAAATGCTGGCATCTCTGAACGACACTGTGTTCATGACAGCGTCCGACTGTCCGGGATCTTTCAAGCTACAGTAGGTTAGGAGCTTATAGGTGTGCTTTTCACTGTTACCACGTGACTTTAGGGTTGTTTAAGGCAACAAAAAGAATGTTGAAAATCTTTGACCATCCAGGCATAACTTAGGTTAAATTAATTGACCATCAGTGGATTAACAGCCAAGAAAAGATTAATTTTAAAATATTCATTATGTAACAGAAACAGTCATCATCTCTCAGTTTAATTGTGGGTAATATTTCAGAGTACAGGAAATGGTTGGTCGACACAGGAGTGCAAGTGAAACAGATCCTGGAAGTGGCAGTAAATTTACCACATATGGTCTCAACGACAGTTGCCCAGTGCTAACCCGAATTGGCAGTTCACAGAACTGCGACAATATTTCTGTATATAGCAGCATAACATCCGTGAATGAATATGCAGCCACAGAAGGACATGATTTACCAAAGCAAAATACTATGAACTGGAATTTGTCTTTGAAGAAAGGTCAAATATTAGTTGAAGAAGAAACTACCGAGACAGGCAAGGTGAGACTTGCACCTGAAGGAATTGTTGTTGTCTGTGATTTTATTAGGCTATTCCACTTTATTAAAGACACAAAATTGTACATCAATGATATGATTACATCTTGTCAACACATAACAGAAACTGTACATAATAGTGTAAAAACTTGCTAACACATCACAGAAAATGTGCATGAGAAGGTAATGTTTTGTCAGTATGCCATCGCTGGTAATATGAAATTCAACAAGAAATTAATGAAGGTCATTCTCTGTAGATCGCTGGCCATGTGTACAAGGTGTACATAAGAGCTATGGGCCTGATGTATGCACTCCCACCTCTCATCTTAATGACTCTGGGACAAGTAAGATGAACAATTATTACTTTCTCTCTATGTTAATTTTTTTACAATTTTCATAAAAGGAATTAAAAGGACATGAATTATCTCATTGTATTTCGTGACATTACTTCACGTGACCTCTAAGTCAATTGGTTATTCATAAATTTAGTGTTTGCAAAACTATTGATCCCTGTAACCTTTTTAGATGACTTTTAACAAAAAATTTAGCTAAGGATAAAGAAAAGTTATTACAAACATACAGCACAAACTTGTATGTTGTATTATATAATATTATGTCATGGATTCAGCAAATGTTTCGATATAATCATCTCTCAGTGCCATTGTCCAGATTTGTTTGATCTCTTCCTGTAGGCAATACTTTATTTTTTTTCTTCTTTTTTTTTTATTTTTTTATTTTTTCCTACCTCTTATCACCTTACTAGCCGTTCGGACGGTTGGTCTATCCAGTGTTAATACAGGAGGAAACCGGAGACCAGGAAACCTGTGAAGTTTGGTAGGGTCGCACTGGATAACATCCTTCTCACGTGTTTCCAGGCTTGAACCCTTGACATATTGATGAGAGATAAGCACATTACTGCTATACCACCAACACCCTTGAAGATGTGTTCTATGTTGACAGCTAGTGTTTCATTCAATTCCATTCATTCTCTGTTATGGTTAGGTCCAGTGAGTTTCCAAGCCACAAGAATATTAATGCATATTCATTGTGAGGAGTCTTTTTGGGGTAATACGATGAAATAACATGTTCACTTCTTTATTTGAAGTTGGTGTTGTATTGTTCATTTTTACCCATCTTGGAGGCATTTGTGGTGCATTTTCTTCATTTCTGTTGTAGACATTGTCAGATTCTTCATCACTCATTGTTTCGTAAGCATATCAGTAGCCTGTTAGGCTCTCTTGGGTCTCCCGGTAGATGGTTTCCAAAGTGGAACAGAATTGGCGAGAAGATTGTGTGCCTTGCGTCTCTGTCTTATTTGTTGCTGTGCTTCATGAATTTTTTCCAGAGGAAGTTACCGGTATTCACCCAACAGGGCAAGGATGTGAGCCTTTTCTTCACTTGAAATGCACTTTGGACCCATAGTGACTGTTTTGTATGAAAAAATTTAGGTCAGTATGGTGGTACAGTAGGTGTTTTTTCTGTCATCAGCATGCAGCAGAAACTGTTGCTACTGCCCCAGGATACAGCTAAACTCCCAGGCTGCACAGAAATCTTGTGCATGGAGGCCAGAGACACCATAGAGTTGATAGTTTAAAAAAATTTTGGCTGATTTAATTTGACAGGTCATAACCAGGCTCTAGTTTGAGCATAAAATGTGTAAATGGAATCAATATTTTATGTGGACACTGAAACAGATGATTGAATGCGAGTGACATTATTATATGTATGTAATAAATAATTAAATAGATGTGATTGCTAATGGTATGTATATGGTAGATAATTAATTGTATGCAAGTGTCAGATAATTGAAGGTTTATGACGTACAGTAATTGTATGCATATGATAGACAATTGAATGCACATGATAATACATATTAAGTTTCATTTGACAAATTAAATGCAAGTAATCAGTAATTGAATGACTGTGACAAAAAAGTATAAATGCATAGGTATTTTATTGTTTCTGTGTACAATTACTGTACAACTTTAAAAAATTATTCCTTCTGGCAGATTGAACTTTTGGTAGCAAAACTATGAGCTACTGAGATATAATTATACTTCATTTTTTAACTCTTATTAGCAGCTGGACCAAAACTTTAAGGGTTGGGAAGACAGAAGTTCATCTCTTGGTGTGGTAATTAAATAAATCACTTTCAAATATTGATCCATTCAATACTTATTTTTGCATATGCTCTAAACATGAATGCATAAATTACAATATGATACAAAATACCAGTAAGTAGAGTACTGGTAATATTATTCTTCAAAATAAGTCTTCTGAATACCTGTATTCCTTATTTTACCTCTTTTTTTGTGTGAATATTATGTGCTTGGCCTCCTCATATCTTTCTCTTATCCACATGTTTGTCAAATATTGAGGTGAACTTTGATATCTGTTTATGATAAAAAAGAAACCTGGTTTCCATGAAGCAGCTGACTTCTGGAGAGGCTTTTAAGAAACAACTAAAGACCTTTCTTTTTCTAACAAATATTAATTGAAATACTAATAGAACTTTTCTCTCAGGCATGCAATGCAGGCAGCAACATCTGGCTCTCTGATTGGTCCAGTTCAAATTCCATTAACTCAACCAACAGCTCTGCAGTCTCCAGGGATACCTTCTTGACTTTCTATGGTGCCTTTGGTGTTGGTCAATGTAAGTGTCATCAGTATAGAGAGAACTTTATTTTCTACATACAGTTGTTTGGACACTGATATACAGTAGCTTCAGTAAAAAAAATTTTTATTGTACATGTCACAAGCGGGGTACCACAGGGCAGTGTATTGGGCACGCTTTTGTTTGTTTGTTTCATAAATGACATGTCTGACGCTGTACACTCCTCCACACAAATGTTTGCGGATGATGCCATGTTATTTCGGGAAATCAAGAACCAAGGGGACTGTGAAGAGCTGCATAAGGATCTCTGTGAGCTCCAAGAATGGTCGAAGAAATGGCTGCTGAGATTCAATGTCACATAGTGTAAGAGGATGCACCTGGGGTGTACCAACGGTAAGGAGGCGTATCATATGTCCCAACGGGATAAAGAAACTGCGCTATGTGAGGCAATGTGAGAAGGACCTAGGTGTGTATGTTGACAATGAGCTGAAGTTCTCGGGCCATTGTAAGAAGAAGGTAAATCAGGCAAATAAATTATTAGGTCTTATAAGAAGGTCGTTCAGATATCTATACGGTCCATCCCTTGTAACGATCTTCAAGAGAGAAGTTCTTACCCATCTCGAATACTGCCACCCCATCTGGTCCCCGAGATATGCTAGGGACTGTCAGTTAATTGAAAATGTTCAAAGGAGGGCCACCAGACTGGTGCCTGCACTTCGGCACCTCAGCTGCCCTGAGAGATTGGAGCGCCTGAACTTGCCTAGCTTATACTACAGACGGGCAAGTGGCGACCTAATTGAGGTATATAAGCATCTCAAGGGGCACAACTCAGTCGAGTGTCCTTATCTGGAGCTGGCGGACGCTCGCCCCACAAAGGGTCACAGCTTAAGGTTGAAGAAGCCGCAGGTTCAGAAAACTGTGAGGGCAAACTTTTTTCGGAGTGAGAGTTGTGAACTCTTGGAACAATCTGCCAGAAAGTGTTGTGACGGCACCGAGTGTGAACTCTTTCAAGACAAGACTTGACCAACACTGGAGCAGGTTCAAGCACATTCAGGAGCCGGTGCATGCCCAGTACTTGCCAGCAGTGCATAACAGAGATGTAACCGATCGCCCAAGCGGCTAACGAGCCGATCAGTGGTGAAGAGGATAAAAGAAAAAGAGAAAAGAGAAGAGACTGAGAGGCTCTAATGTGTGAGTGAGTGAAAGATAAATACCTACTTGGCAACCTAATCTAGTCAGGCCACCCTTTTTATTCAAATAGGCCCACGAAAGATCAAAACGTCATGTGAGGTGACCCAAAGCTCTACAGACACACGTCGTAAGATATGACCCAAAGCCTAGGGGTTAAATTTGTATTTTAATGTGCATTAAATGTCATGTAGGTTTCCTTTTACATTTTTCATATATAGTAGTACTGTATACAGTAGTTTATTTAAAAAAAATATAATGCTAGGTAGCGACGTGCCCTCTTAATATATGTATTTAAGTAATTATTAGATGTTTTAATTGCTTGTATGTTGGCCTGGCGAGTTAATGCTAGGCATTTACATACCTAGGTATAAAGCTAGACGTCGCATTCTGGACTTTATCACAAAAACTGTTTTTTAGAATTTTTTTTTTTTATGAAATACAGGTATATTACCTTATTTATTTTTATAATATATACAGACAGTCCCATTTTTTTCACATATGATCAGCCTCTTGTGGTGTATATTTCATCATTAATAATAATAAATAATAGAAAAAATGTGGCAGGCGTGTGTGTGCGCATATGACATATGGATGATGCAGTATGCACTCATGTTTTGCTCTCTTCCCAGGAAGATTACTATCACCTTTGTTTAAATTATTTTACCTAAAATCTTACCGTTTTTCTGTGGCTGAATGTGTGTGTAACTTAAAGCTATCCATTCACAGTACAGGTAGTTCTGCTATAACGCGATAATTGTGTTCTTGTAAAATATCGTGTTATAGAAAATCGCGTAATAGAAATAACAGGGCTTATGGAGAAAATAGGGTTAGGTGCAGATTACTCGAAATCTAAAAAATTTAGTAGTTAGCCTAACACAAAGGACAGCACAGTCTAAATAAAGGTTACATTCAAATCTAATAATGAAATCATACAGTAAACGTAACACTTTACCTTGAAAAAATATGAATGTAACTTGATGGGGGAGAAGGGTGATTTTGAGGTTGATAACATCGAGCTTCTCTTCAAGTGTTATATCCTTTCTTTTACGATCATCACCGGGAATTCTATCACCAGAACGCTTCTTGGAGATATTCTTCTTTACCATATTCACAGTTAATACCACAAAATTGGAGAAATAGTAAGCAAAAATCGCGTTATAGCAAACAAGCGTTCGCGTTATACAAATATCGTTCCTAATTCATAAATCGCGTTAGAGCAAATTCGCGTTATCAAAACACGCGTTATAGCAGAACTCACTGTACTCTACAGCATTATGGGCAAGTCCATTCTAAGAGTGGGGAAATAAACTGCTCACTCACGGGTCTGAGAGGAGAAGAGAGGCCTCAAGGGATTGCTCACTGGGGTCAATTTCAAATGATCACACGGCGGGAATTTCAAACGACAAATATTTAAGGGTTCAGACAAATGTTTCTTGCCCAGAAAGGGTCCAGAGTTACGAGGTCTGGACTTTTGAGGGTTTACTGTATTATATACAGTATATAGAGAGAGAGATGTCTAAGGAAACAAAGTTTAGGTTATATAGAGGAGTTCTTGTGATCTAATTATTATCGGTACATGTACTGTATAATAGGGAAGGGAAACATGAACTGTGCCACCTTGGATGCAAGAGGTAGAAGTAAATTAGAAGTGATGAACGTGATGTGCCTGAGAGACATACAGAGGATGAATAGGATGGAGAGAGTGAGAATTACTAAAATTAAATGAAGTCGTGGAAATGATTGAAGTGTTTGACAGAAAGCCGACCAGGGTATGAACATCGTGAGAGAATGGGAATTGAAAGATTGCTAAAAAATATAACTTAAGAAATAAGAGTATAAGGGATAGGGGAGGACCAAGAAGAAAATAGAAGGGTAAGATGAAAGAAAGACTAAAAGCGATAGGGAATGAACATAGAATAAGAAGCAGCAGAGCACATTCATGATAAGAGAGCATGACACTGAGTGGCTTATGGGGATTGTCACAGCAGATACTGTATAGTGAAAGGAAACTTTGTTGTTGCTCATAATTCTGGCCACCTTACAGTAGTCAGAAAAGTTTGCATTATGTATAAAAAGAGGGATCATTTGGTGTCTTATTCTATACCTTGCACCACTACCATTTTGTTAGAGAGATTGTAGTCATTCACACTTTTGTATTTTTGTCCTTCGATATTTTACAAAAATTATATTTTGCACACCTTTCAGTCCTAGCATGCATGAGATACTGAGTTTGTATTATTTACATTTATCTTCTTTATTATTTATTTTCATGCAAATATTAATGTAATGTTGGTTTGCAGCATTTTTCATGTTTATGGGGATCTTGGTGATAATGCTGGGTACTCTGCGCTCTGCCAATTATCTTCACCACAACCTCCTCAGAAATGTTGTTCGCCTACCAATGAGTTTCTTTGACACTAATCCTAGTGGCCGCATCATTAATCGCTTTGGTAAAGAGGTTAATGTCCTAGATACCGTTTTGCCAGGTACACTTCGGGCTTACACTACCATTTTGACCTTGGTGAGTTATCCAATATTTCTATTTACCTGTAATGGATTTTATTTGTTCCCAACTTTTTTATTCAAGTTCTGTATTGAGTGTATGACTTTCTATATTTTGTTTATTTGCTTCATGGTCCACAGTTCATTGGTCTGTCCATGCCATGTTGACCTTACTAAAAGAAAAAAGTGAAATTAATTAATACAAGTTTCTTAAGGTTTCCATTGCAAAGAAAAACTGTAAAAAATCTTATTACAGGTTGTGACAACCATGATAGTCATTGTGGTGGCTACACCCATTGCAGCTGCCTTCATTGTTCCAATGATGATTGTCTACTACATCATTCAGCAGGTGTTTGTCACAACTTCAAGGCAACTTAAACGTATTGAATCTGTCTCCAAATCACCCATATATTCCCACTTTAGTGAAACAATACAGGGTAAGTTAGAAGTCAGCTTATATTGTACCTTAGTTCCATCATCTCTTAGCTAAGACACAGAAGGGGTCAAAGGAGGGTTCATCTCTACCCACCTGGTTGCTCAGTTACCTGGTAAATTTCATCTTATTTATTATGTCTCACTACTTCAAGGAGTTATTAGTCTTCTTATCACTTATGTATCCTTTATATGTTTCTGGTCTTCTCATATACTGTACTATTATTGTACATAATGATTAATCAACTTCTTTACATATCTTTCTCCAATAATACCTTTGTTAAAAAAGTGATTACAAGGAACACACACACACAAACACACACACACACACACACACACACACACACACACACACACACACACACATACACATTAATTTCCATTTTTGTATTTACGTAGAACCCCATATTTACCTACAATATTATCCTTATCACCTAACACTAGTGTTGCTCTATTTTTTCAGGGTCTTTGAACGCATTAATTTAATTAATTCTAAAATACCTCTTGTTTCTCTGATTAGTCTCTTTGTTTACTGTGGCATGTGTACAATGGCTCCAAAAAGTATCAACGATTTTAAACGAGATATTATGACACAACGGACAAAGGATTTTGACAAACCTGGCGAGATATTAGGAGTCGCAGTGTTCATTTTGAATTTCGTCGGACATTTTGGATTGAGTGTTCTGCACATATTCCTCTACATTCAGCACATACTGTTCTGGAGTTCTCATTTCTATATCCTTTTTTTTTTGTTCTTTCATTAGTTAATGTACTTAAGCTAACTCTGAACCAATTACGGATAAGGCCATGGTTATCAAGTAAACAATGATTGCTCATACTTAGCTGGACAGCTGAACAATATCATACCTCACCTTCAGTTATTTTTAAGTCTCTTTATTCTTTCTAGGAGCATCAGTCATACGAGCCTTTAAGAAACAAGATGATTTCTTCCAGGAGTCTCTTCAATTGATTGAGAATAGTCTTAAAGCAATTTATGTAAATGTTGGTGTTAACAGGTAGGTTTATATACAATCTTAGTTCTGAAGAGTTGATTTTTCTATGATTTATTGTTCTTCTCTTCTATATGTCAATTCCAAATTCATTAGTTAACATCTGAATCTAATGACTTTAATGAGAAAATTACTGAGATAGTCTTATTGGCATTATAAAGTCTGATGCAGAACCTATAAACTGGGACTTGAATCTAATGATTATATTTTATTGATTATACACTGTATATTCATAGGCCATATGAAATTTAATGTAAAATCCATAAATTGTTACTTGATTTTAATTATATTTAATAATGCAGTATGATTATATGCACCATACAATTCTGATAGATGTCTGCCAAAGTATACATGGTATAATGGTATAGATTCTATATCCCCATGACATTAGTATTTGTGTGTCTGCTTCTCAAGTGTCATTCCTGCAGGTACAATACAATACTGGAACTTTCATTTTAACAGTTCCTAGAAAATGCTGAGTACAACCATTTCAATGAATCATTGAATATTTCTTATGCTATGAAAGACTGATATTGTAAAACTGTTGCAGATGGCTGGGTGTCCACCTGGAGACAATAGGTAACCTCATCACCTTTGCAGCAGCCATATTAGGAGTAGCAGGACGTGAAACCATCAGTCCAGGAATTGTTGGGTTATCTGTGTCTTATGCTCTTAATGTGAGTCTGTACTGTATCTCAACTTACTTATTGCATACCTTAGCATATTTATACTATGCTCTTAGAATATGAGCATGTATGTGTGGATAGCTATTTGCATTTGCCCTTTCCTGTTGCTTTCTACAGTACAGAAATACTTCGCTATTCACAACCCCGCTTATCCACATAGATAAAGTGCAAAAAAATGCAAAAGAAATAACTATCATAAGGTCATTGTGTATAATGTGACTAATGAAAATAAACAAATTGGGGTTAAGATATATTAGACAAGGAAGGCTTTGGCATGCTAGATAACAAATTGTTGTTTAACCCCTTATGTACAGGGGTCTCTCTATTCTGAGTAAAATTACCTGCTGTTAGCCAAATATAATACCAAAAGTGGCATCCCCTTAGTGAAAATTTTATGGAATATACATACGATAAAGCAAACAAGATGAATCACTTGGTAGACATGATCCAGTGGACCTTCTCACTGCGCTGAGCTAGAAATCTCCTGTGGTGGTTGAGGAAACCCATGGATACTGTGCTTAAAACTGGATAACTTGGCTATAAACTGGTGTACAAAATATAAAATATGGAACCTCAAAACCATTGTTGGTATTACTTTATACATTTATGTGTAAGTAAAAGCAAAGTGCAGTAATTCCCATGTGATATTGGCATTATAAAGTGGGTGACAATCTAATTTTGAATGTAAAATTTTTTTACGAAAACAATTGATGTATTGTATAGAACCTGATTCAGTCTGTAGATAGGAGCTTAAAATGGTAAAGATTCCTATCTGGGGACTCATTCCAAGAGACTTGCTCTGAAGTTTTAAATGCCCCTTTCTATTAACAGTGGTCTTCATGTTTACAACCAGAGTTTTAAAAAATTAAGTCCTGAAGGATATCGCACTTCAGCGTTCGAGTAAAAAATTTTTAAACGAGTGTTCAACATGAAGAACCTGTCGACAAAAAGAAGGCATTTACAACTAATGGGGTTAACCTCTTCACTACTGGAAAGCCACTTCACTTTTTTATTTATTTAATACCAGAGGATTTTATTCAGCCGAGTAGAAAAAGAAAGCCTTAATGTGACCCCAATTCTGAATATTGTTCACAAGTTAACCCACAGTGTCTTCCATGTGGGTCTGGCACCCTAGTTCACTGTAAAATTTCAATAAATTAGTATATTTTCTCTTATACTGTATGTCTGGTGATTTATTAATCAATTGGACTAGTATGATAGGCCTACATGTTGGCTATTGCTTTTATATTTAACAATCTTTGTTTACTTCTTTATATAATCCTGATTATTCATTATATTTTGACATAAGATTGATATACAAGTACAGTACAGGCACTAACAAAGGGCTTTTAGGTTACAGCCATCCTGAACTGGCTGGTACGTATTGTGTCAGATGCAGAGGCCAACATCATTTCAGCAGAGAGGATTAATGAGTACATACAGGTGAGAATTATATTCCTTGTGATCCTGCTGGAGATCTCCAAGAGTTCTTGTCAGTACAATGCAGGAAGTGAATACTGTATTTGGCTTTGTACTGTAGCACTATAACATAATGTGAGCTTTGGGGTTTTTCTAAGAGTACTTAAAAGTATTAGTTTGGTCTTGTACTGAAGAAGCTTAATGTGTCTGTAGTTCTCCTGTAGGAAAATTTGTAAGACCAAAAAATTAAGGATGGAAATATCATTGTCAGAAAAATTACCAACCCCTCCTGCAAGGCTCATATAGACACAGTTCATAAATAATGGTTATAGGTTTGTCGTTATAAAGTTAAATTAGGTTATTTTGAATATGTTCAGTTACTGTTATGCTAGGTTAGAATAGGTAGTCAAATATACAGAACTGTTCCTGTAGTTTTCTGGTATTTTTATATGTACGTAGTAACATATCACTCTTAATAGCAGTGTGAACATTTTCATACTCATCACCCCTGTTTCATATACTGTAACTATTTTTGACTTGTAAATAGCTGTAGAGGTGTAGTCAGAATGAACCTAATAAATAGGTTGCTGTAAATGATGATGTATACCAGAACATGGATAAGAATCATTATTACACCAGAGCATATCATACCACAATTACTAGGTACAAGGGACCTCTGATCCCACTAGAAACCTGCAACAAGTCTCATTTACTCAGAAATATAGTGGAGTTAAGAGAAGCTGTGATTATTTTATTCTAGTTAAGGAATTGCATTGCATTATTTGAGATAAATTGTAGGTTATATTGGCAAATTGATGCTATACATTATTTTCATTATCAGTTGGAACAAGAAGCACCGTGGAAACTAAAGGACCAGACATCACCTAAGTCGTGGCCAAAAGAGGGTCGCATCACCTTCAGTAACTATGAGACCCGATACAGACCTGGGCTGGAGCTCGTCCTTAAAGGCATCACCTGCACTATTAAGCCAGCTGAAAAGGTCTGTATCAAAATATTAAAACCATTTCTACAACTCAAAGTGCTGAGCTAACCTACCTAACTTAACCACATAAAAACAATTTTAACTGTACTTACTGGTATGAAATTACAGTCGAAAATATGTGTGATTGAGAGTCAAGAGGCCAAGCAAAATTATCTACCCACTCTCAAGTGGTTAAGTTATAGTACTTTAAACCACACTAATGGGAAGGAGGAGTATTTGTGTTTTTTATTTTTTTTAATTCATGGGAGTGTTTTCTGTAGTATGAAGAAGCAATTTACAGAAATTTTAAGGGTATAACTATATTTATGGCCATTTTACAAACATTTAGAGTGCCCTATTATATCCATGTTCTATTAAATATGGAAAAAAAAATACAGTACAGTATATTGAAATAATATAACAATACATGTTCCCATCCTCCCAAGGCCAAGATTTAGGGGGTCAATAGGCCATAAGTCAGGATAGTAGAGGCTGTTGTCTCTAGCTGGGTCATGTGGTTTCTCCAAATCTGAGTCAAGATGCTGCATTATTTTCAGTTTATCAGCAATGTTTTTCTCTCATTTTGGCCTTGCACCAGCACCATGGGAGCAAAACCCAGGAATTACTATTACACACAAAAATATTTTAGTTATTTATCCAGAATTTAAATTATAATGTATAACAAAAAGTAACAGACAATGTCAATAGGTGGGCATTGTGGGCAGGACGGGTGCCGGCAAGTCGTCCCTCACATTGGCACTCTTTCGTCTCATAGAGCCTTCTGGTGGCCAAATTGATATTGATGGTGTTGACATTACCAAGATTGGTCTCCATGATCTCCGAGGTCACATCAGTATTATACCCCAGGTAAGTCTTCCATGACCTGCAAAGACATACAGTACAACCATCTTTCAATTTACAAGGATCAATTTATGTGAATGTATGTTTTTTTTTTTTTTTTTGGTAATGGAACCCTTAGGTAAACCAAGGGATACCTGTCCTAGTATTATACCCTCAAGTATCATCATCCATGACCCACCAAGACACATTATTTTTGCACTCCCCAGTACTGTATATTCTCAATGACACCCAAAGTCATTTAAAAATTTAACCCGGTCAGTAAAGTTTATCTTGACCCATGAAGTTACCTTAGTGTTTAGTACAGGTAGGTCCCTCAAGTCATATACAGTACAGTATATACAACGTCCGACACAAAAATAACGAGACTGACCCTATAACTCGGGAACCAAGAGTGGGAGGGGAGGGACAAACAGACAGTTATTGAACATGTTCTAACCTGTCACAGTGTGACAAGGCTCAACTCTATCGCTTCACTCAGTACAAGTGGACGCATGTTGAAGTATAGACGTGTTCTTACTCTCGGTCGGAAAATGTCAGACTGCAAAACTGAGCAACAAGTTTCTCGTTAAACTTAAGAAATCCGCGATGTAAACTTTTCAATTATTGACTGAGGCTTACGGTGAAGATTGCATGTCTCGTGCACACGTTTTTGAATGGCACAAACGATTTTCGGAAGGCAGAGAAACTGTGAAATATGATGACCACCCAGGCCATCCACGCACAGCAGTTACCAATGACAACATTGAAAAAGTGCGCGATGTGATTAGAAAAAATGTAGGTTTGGTGTTTCTAGCATTAGGTGAGAAAGTTAATTTAGACAGGGAAAGTGTTCGACGCATCCTAACGGAAGAATTGAACAGGACAAAGGTTTGTGCAAAAATGGTTCCCAAAAATGCTGTCAGATGAACAATGCACCAGCCTACAATGCTTTGTCTGTGAGGCAGTTTTTAGCCAATAAAAGCATCACTGTGCTTGAGCACCCACCCTATTCGCCAGACCTGACTCCCTGCGAATTCTGCCTCTTCCCAAAGATCAAGTCCGTGCTCGAAGGAACCAATTTTTTGTCGGTAGAAAAAGTGAAAGCAAAAATGACGGAACTCTTCAAAAGCCTTACAGAACATGATCTGCAGAATTGCTTTGAACTGTGGCAGCATCATATGCAGATGTTTGTCAACTCAGAAGGGAACTACTTTGAAGGCAATCACAGTTGATTTTCTTTATTTGGTAAATAAAAAGAGCTACAGCATCAGTCTCGTTTTTTGTGTGTGTCGGACCTCGTGCTGGACCTGAAGTAAGTCCTTCGAGTCACTTTAGAGCTGTATCCCCAGTAGGTCCTCCATTTCCCCAGAGGTCACATGGGTATTATTCTCCAGATTATGATAATAATGTTGGTTAACTATCTTGACTGAAGATGACTGGTTTTTAAGCCTCCTGAGGCATGCATTTGTTGTACAATACTGTAGAATTAGCTTTCAACATAACAACCACACAGTTATCATGCTGTTTGACCCAGTGGCAAGTTGTACATGTTACCAGTAACAGCCACTGCACCCTTAAATAAAGAGTTATGTCTCTTGATGTTGAAGTGTAAACACTGTTACCAACACAACGATCACACCACTAAATAGTTAGCTGTGTTTCCTTTGTTTACAAGCAGTTTCGCCCAGTGTCAGGTTATAAAAGCTGTTGCCAACTACACAGTTATTTAGTGAGCTGTGCTATCTAGTTTTCAAGGATAAGTCAGAAAGACAAGGAACATACTCGCTTTAATATCCATTTATTACTTTCTGAACACAGTCTGCCAGTTAATATTATCTAAGTCTCCCACTACTACTGGGTCAACGAACACTCATAGTACAAAGGAAATTTATCATATTTCCCACCCTCCGGGGAAACACACCCAGGACCTACTGCTTGTGAGGCAATCATGCCAATTTCTGTCACAAATTAGCTTCTTTCAAATGTGGCCTCAAATAACCCAGAAATTATAGTAAAATCATAAATCAGGTGAAAAGAGAATGATGCAAGTTCTGCATAAGGTGATCTTGAATTTTTTTACAGTAAAATGTGACACTCATTGTGATAGAATGAAACTATTGGCATGATGGGTATTATTCAAATGGAAAACTTTATTTTTCTGTATGAGTTATTTAATATTCGATCTCTGCAGCTGGCTAACATAATGATAAAGGGAAAGAGACAGTGTCCAGTGAAACATTACCTTCATGATACTCATTGAATAACCTCATCATCATCCAGGATCCAGTACTGTTCAGTGGGACACTCCGCATGAATCTCGACCCATTTGATGTCCATGAAGACATGGACATTTGGCATGCACTTGAGCTTGCTCATCTTAGTCAATACATCCGCAGTCAACCACAAGGTCTTGAACACATGGTAGATGAGGACGGCTCCAACTTTAGGTATGTTTGGCTTAAGCATAATGTTTAATAGATGTCATCAACCACAGAAATGGATCTCACCATTTTGGGCCAAATGTGTCTTATCCCTGACATTTGCAGTGGTGAATCTATTGACAGTCCCTGAAGTTTGCTTTTTTATTCTATCTGGCAGGTTAATAGCAATTGTATCTACAGTATTTAATCTTTAATCTTTCTATATACTTTACGAGTATATAGTAAATCTATCTGTATTTATGAGCTGTTGTCAAATGGAATATTTCTTTCGCAATCAAATATTGAATTATCATTATACAGCAGATAAGAGACAACTTTGTGGATTGTTTTTGTTCTTTTAGGTAAATATAGTTTTTTGTTTATGTATGTAAAGTCTATAGACAGTATGCTGTATTTGCATGTACCTCTACAGTACATTTATATATCTATTATATCAGTGAAGAACAGAAAATGATGTGCAAACCTTGGGGATAATTTTGATCAACACTGACCTGACACTTGTCTTATTAAGAGGGATTTTAGAAATATAAGTTCATATAATGTGTAATTTTGGAAAATATGATGCTAAATTTGAGTTAGTCAGAACTATTTAGTGGGTGTTATAAAAAATACACTGCATGTTGTACAGTAATTGAATTTTTGCCATTTTTTGTTGATACTGTAAAAGATGAAGCACATGTACTGTAGTTATTTTAATCATAATTTTATTTTCATTGTCTTTATTTCTCACAGTGTTAACCTCTTCAGCCCTGTGTACAGTTATGTCATCCTTAGACACTTTTTTCCCACAGACATTAATACAGTAAAGTGATTTTAATTTTGATGTGTTTACATTTTCATCATACAGTATAAACAGGATCCTACCCATTAATTGTTCTGCTTTTGTTACTCAAATATATAAGCTTCCCACATATATACAGACTGACCTCACAAATTTGTGTCACATAAGTCCTTTTTTCTGCAAATTCGTGCATTTTTGAGTGTTTCCCTAATACAATTTTTATTGCTTGTCTGCTCGTTTGATAAAAATACAAATTAAATTGTTTTGAAATTTAATTAAAGTTACCGTATATACCTGTACTTGAGTACCGTTCCCGTTTTTACGATAAGTTTGGTGTGTGGGATGTCAGCTGTTTCTGTGTATAGTGAAACGATTGCCAAATGGCAATACATACAGTATTTTTATTTATTGGTATTATATTTATTCCTCACATTTACTGGTATGTATTATTTTATCTTATTCCTCAGTTAAATATATTATTCTTGAAACATTTTTTATAAGATTTGCCATAATGTGAATCATCACAAGACAGGATGTACTGTTAATAAGAAATATTATAATTTTAGTGTCTTAAGATTTATTCATACAATAATAATATTCTTAGAAATTAACAGCATCCCAGCTGCCTCTCTGTTTCCTGTAGCACCGGTTGCTATGGTGAATTGGTGATCGTCAAGCAGGTGGCTAAAATTCCTGAGATTGGGATGCAGTGTGTGCACTAATCTTGTATCATTTTATATTTTTTTGTGCTTTCATTACTGCTATTTATATGGTTTTGTTATTGCTCCTTTTGTGTCTACAATTTTAAGTTTTAATGGTACAGTGTAGTGGTGATGCTACTTTTATGGGAAATTTTGCGAATTTTCCTGTTTTTGTTAAATCCAGAATGCGACGTCTAGCTTTATACCTAGGTATGTAAATACCTAGCATTAACTCACCAGGCCAACATACAGGCAATTAAAACATCTAATAATTATTTAAATACATAATATTAGGAGGACACGTCTTTACCTGACATTTAATTGCAATTCTCAAAAAATCCGTGCCTTCAGAAATTCAGCCACGGTGGGATACCAAGCAGCATGAATTTACAAGGTCTACCTGTATTTTCTTTATTCAACCATATTTACAGTTTAGGCTTTTCCCATTAAAAGGAACCAGGTAAGTTGAAACCAGAATTACCTTCTAAATGCTACCAATTTCAGCTGATACCTAATTATTTGTGTAGTAATAATATTTCTAATACTTTTCTTGTTACTAATGATGTGTGTGTCTTCAGTGTTGGCCAGAGGCAATTGGTGTGTCTGGCACGGGCATTACTCCGCAACTCTCAGGTTTTGGTGCTTGATGAAGCCACAGCAGCTGTCGACTTGGAAACTGACAAGCTTCTCCAGACAACCATCCGCAAGCATTTTAATGACTGTACTGTGCTTACAATAGCACATCGCCTCAACACAATCATTGACTATGACAGGTGAATCAGTGTATCCTTTTCAGTGTTCACATTCTTTTGTGACAAGCAAGTCTTCCTTCATAATTTACAATAGCTCTTCAACATAATTCTGTAAACTGCAACAAGTGAATAACTGTACTGTATTGTCAGTACCATAGCATATGGTACAGTGATTCAGGACTAAGGGTAGTGAGAGGAAATATCTGCTACAATAGAACGTTGATATAACGCTGATATAACGGCTTTAAACGGAATTTGCACTAAATCGAAGTGTTGTTTCAATGGAATACCCGGTAATTTAGTTTGGTACTTGAGAGAAACAAAAAGTACTAAAAAGACTGAGAGTCTACCCAGATGCACCTCAGCCCATCTCTTAGAATAAACAAAACATTTTTTTTGCAGTATTATGTTAAAACAAACACTCATAAATCAACACAGCTAAAATTAAGGGATGTGAAATGGTCTGTTTACTGGCTGGGAGGGAGGGAGGTGAGGTGATATGATTGACAGTTGATGCCAAGGTCTAGTGCTTATTTATTTATCTGTCCTTAAGAGTGATTTTATGTTTTCTCTTATAAAATGTCACTGAACTGACATGGGAGAATATAATTAACATTGCTGGAATTCTTATAAGATAGTGATTAATTTGAATATAAACATGCTATAGCTCGCATTAGACATACAAATTTTAGTTCTAATTTAAGAATGTTAGTACAAAGAGCAGAATTTTTTATCTCTTGTGCAAAATATATGACGTTTATATTCAAATTATTCGCTGTCTTGCAAGGATTCCAGCAATATATATTATGTTCTTCTAACTTTAGTCTGTGACATTATATAAGATAAAAACTTTAAGCCTAAAACACCAAACCCTGGCTGAGAAGATGGGGGGAGGGAAGTGACAGTGATATGTTTGACAGTTGGGCTGAAGGTCTAGTGAAGTATTTATTTGTGTATTTATGTCCTTTAGCTTGAGTTTATGTTTTTTGCTTATAAAATGTCACAGAAGTGACCAGGGAGAATATAATTTACGTTGCTGGAATTCTTATAAGATAGTGATTAATTTGAATATAAACATGCTATAGTTTGCACGAGACAAAAATTTTAGTAATCATTTAGTACATTATTTTGAGTACATGTACAGTACAGCTTTCCCCTTAGGACAGTGTAGCATGCCCAGAGAAATATTAGGTGCAAAATTTTAAATATGATGCGCCAGATTGACTCGCGCAAAGTAGGAAACATTCTCTTTAAATGAAAACATTGTCCTTAATTGTGGGTGTCGCTTTAAATCAATAATCTTAAATTGAATTGCTTTAAATCAACGTATATATTTTTATGATGCATAGTACAGGGGCTCAGGATCTTGGATGGTGGTAGGTATGTAACTACCATACACTTACATATGGTAATAAGCACCTGACAGCTTTGTTGGCTAGCCTTAGTCAAATTTCTTTACTGTTTACCTTAAATGTCTTGACACACAGGAACTGTATGCACAATATACCTACATTGTCTATATTCATGCTGAACTGTATAACTGCATTGTTTATAAACTTGTTTATCCAATTACAGAATAAACATATGTGACAATTTTACTGAAATGATAGTGTTATTGTTAACAGTGGGTATTTCCCGGGAGTAGTGATAAACTTCCCATGAATTGAGTTGTCTGTTTTACCCCCGGGAATACTGGGATCCCGTTGATGAACCCTAATTAATATACACCACTGGACATCATAAATTTTAATATAAGAGCCACTGGCCCAGTCTTCATTGTGATTAGTTTCTACCTTGTCACCCAACCACACATTATAGCATCTACTACTTCACCATTGTCACTTGTGTTCAAAATTTCTTCGTAAATATTTGATAAAGATGTGACTGATTATTTTATGAACATATAATGTACTGCTTTGCTTTTCATGAGTCGATTAACATTGTTAGGATTTGTAAGTGTAAACACAACTGCTAATGGATTTTTCCTCCCCAGGGTGATGGTACTGAAGGAAGGGAAGATTGTTGAATTCGACTCCCCATCAGCTCTGTTAAGCTGTCCTGATTCTATTTTTTATGGCTTGGCTCAAGATGCTGGAATACCGGTAGTTTAGTTTCTCTCAACATTCAGTATTTTTGGTAGTACAGGTAGTTCTGCTATAACGCGATAATTGTGTTCTTGTAAAATATCGTGTTATAGAAAATCGCGTAATAGAAATAACAGGGCTTATGGAGAAAATAGGGTTAGGTGCAGATTACTCGAAATCGAAAAAATTTAGTAGTTAGCCTAACACAAAGGATAGCACAGTCTAAATAAATGTTACATTCATATCTAATAATGAAATCATACAGTAAATTTAACACTTTACCTTGAAAAAATATGAATGTAACTTGATGGGGGAGAAGGGTGATTTTGAGGTTGATAACATCAAGCTTCTCTTCAAGTGTTATATCCTTTCTTTTACGATAATCACCGGGAATTCTATCATCAGAATGCTTTTTGGAGATATTCTTCTTTACCATATTCACAGTTAATACCACAAAATTGGAGAAATAGTAAGCAAAAATCGCGTTATAGCAAACAAGCGATCGCGTTATACAAATATTGTTCCGAATTCATAAATCGCGTTAGAGCAAATTCGCGTTATCAAAACACGCGTTATAGCAGAACTCACTGTACAGTAATCTTTTATTACCTTGAGGAATAGTGACCCTGCCTTGTCAGCTAAGAGGGCACTTGAATGACTTACATATAAAAGTGGGTTGATACTAGGAAGGGCATCCAGCCATAAAATTTGCCGGTGCATGCCCAGTACCTGCCAACATGCGTAACAGAGAGCCAGTACATAACTAGTCCTTGCCAACAGTGCGTGACAGAGACGTAACCGATTGCCCAAGCGGCTAACGAGCCGATCAGTGGTGAAGAGGATAAAAGTAAAAAGTATAAGGTAATCATGGGTAAGACACACAAGCATGGAGAATGGTCATGTCATAAAATGATGTTCGTTTCCATGAAATCAGATGCATTATTTCTCAAGAATAGCCTTAATCTTCTGCATGTATGATATTGGATGAACAACCTTGTGATTGAGTTCTTCAGGGTACCTACGCCCAAGAGGGTCTCTTTCTTATTGTCAATTTGCACAATCTCAAGGACACTGTGCTATGTCAGTAGTTTTCTTGGTATATTTATTAGCTTTAAAAATCTGTATGTACATTAATCTTTCCGATAGCCAGAACCTTTGATCCCTGGAACTCTCCAATAGCTGAATTTTTCAGTTACGGTATTTAATTATTTTATTTATTTATTTATTTTATTTTATTTTTTTATCTTTCCGTGAAAAATCTCTCCATTCTGGGCAAGGGAATGTATTTCCAAGGTTTGCATCATGTGCATTTCTGGAAAAATTTGAAGAAACTATTCTGGGCATGGGAACAAATTTGCAGGACATTGCATCATGTGTGAGTGCGTAGGCTCAAAGTGCTCATGAGCTAAAATTGGCCACTACTGTATGACTGCATGGGATGCCTGTGATTGGCTGATGTATCTTGCAGCTTATCTCCTCAAACACTTGCATCATGTCTTTCTTAGTTCTTGTTTGCTGCCACTGTAAAAGCGTGTTCACTCGCTCACTGCTGTTTTTGCATACAATCGGTGTTGTGCAGTACTGTACAGTACTGTACTTCACATTACTGTACTAGCATGTAATCAGCCAAGAATACTGTGAAAGCAATGCTTAAACATAAAAAGGACTGCAGTTACATATATACTGTACTGTACATTCAGTAAGTGTGAAAGCACCATATGTACAGTACTGTGCAGTTGACTTACTGTGGTTTGATGTTATATGTGCGATGAAGATCCCTTTTTACAGGCAAGTGACATAATACCCGGTGACAGTATTCTGTTAAGTAACATATAACTATATTGTTGAATTATTCACAGTAAATTCCTAGCATGAAATCTATTATAAGGAACATTTCGTATCTTCATATCAATGATGGATCGGTTTTTATATGTGTATTCAACTTGAAAACTGTTTAGGGCCATGTTATTATTATCATGTCTACATGATGACACTTCATGTACCTTAGCTTGATGTTATGTGACCACTGTACTTATGTTTTTACATATTCGACTTCCCCTTTATATTGTGAGATAAATGGGTAAATGGAGGCACATTCACACATATATGTTATTTGGTTTGCTTCATTTAGTAAACATGATATTAGCATCACTCCTCATCATTTATTAGCAGTGTCGTCAACTCGTATTAATAAGTATCCTCCTTCCCATCTTGTGTGTTGAGACTTGACCGGAGTCAATCTGGTTCGTTACCAGTTTCACACAGTAGAGGATGTACCAAGGAAACTATATCAATGGAAGCGTGTCTTAAAACTACTAAATGTACATCCCCATAGTGCACATGCCTGGCCATTAGGTGGCACTGGTCATTGGAGGGAAAGGCTGCATCAGTCTAGAAGGAGAGGGATACACCGATGTATTGTGTCATGCCCATCGCCACAGGATAGCACTGCCCTCCAGTTTCAAAACAGACTGCAAGTCAACCGATGCTACTTCTGGATGTTGTTTTCTTAAAATTTTGTATATGAAGTAACATTCAAAGTTCCTTGTTGATTTTTTTGTATATCAAACCACAGCTAAAATACTGTGTGAAAGAAATTCTGATGATACTTCGAGCTGCAGATCAGCTTTTACAATCACGGGACTGTAATTTTATGACAGGTATTTGCCTTATTGAATTTGCTGTCAGTAGTCTTAAGGACATCCGGAACAACACTGGCATTGAGAATATCTCGTCAAAACTTATCATCGTGACCTTACAGAATACCATTCGGAAAAACAACAGCATAAACACAAACTATCTCAATACCTAACAAAAGATTCAAAAGTTTATGATTTTGGTAGTGAAGCTGCTTTGCATCATCAACTTTACCACAGTATTTTAGATAACTGCTTTGGTGAACTGAATGTTGGGTTTGGTGAGCATAGTAGTGCATTGCTTGCAGCAATTTCTAGTCTTTGGCTAGAATCCAAGGATTGTTTCTTACTTCCAGAAAATCTTTGCCCATTAGCTAAACTCATAGGTGTCGACACTGAGTCGTCTCTATTGATAAATGAATGTCATGTTGCTAAGCGACTTATTGAGAAAGAATTTGATTGCACAGTTTACAAAAATTTTGGTGATATTTTCAAGTTAATTGTACCCTTTCTGAAGTGGATTCACTTACATATACAGTACTATAGTACAAGCTTTATGCAGCTGTCCTGACATTTGGTGCAAGCACTGCAGTATATGAACATTCCTTCTCAACTATGTCACATGTACTTACACTATACTGTATAGGCATTCAGTGACTCATCATAGAAAAAGTAACCTGGTCTTGCTTGCACTTTTGGCAAAGTTTGCACAGAAATTGAACATGGAGGAATTTCTTCATACTGTAATTTATTTTAAAAAGCAGGTAAATTCAATTGAATTGAGTTGATTAATTATCACCCCTGCACATAAAATGGGTATCATTACTATATATACAATAGTTAGGTCTAAGGAAGATTTTTCTCATTATTTCTTTGTACAGTACAGTACATATCACTTTCTTGAGAAACATTAACAGCATTCAGTTATAATTATTGTGTTGTTGGTTATTTGAGAAAAAATAATTTGCACCGAGTTCTTTCTTGCTGTACTACAGTTTATATACTCATAATTATCTCCTGTCTATATTATACAGTACAGGTATGCTTAGATTAGCATTACCTGTATGTGTGAAGTTTAATAATTTACTAGTTGTTTTATGCATAGAATGTTGTGAGCTGATTTATCAGTTGTAATAAATAGTTAATGTTCTCTTGTATAATTGGTTTTATTTCCAAATGGTTTCATTACAGAAATTACAATTAATAATGTACAGTACTGTACGCGAGATTCGTAAATAAAAAATCTTGCCTCCTATGCTATGAATCTGACGACGGGCCTGTGTTGTGTACAGTAAGAATAAAAACAACAATAGAGACCTGAGGTTTCATTTCATCCCATAGGACAAGAAAGAGTAAGAAGATATATTGAGTTGGATAGGTAGACAGGTGGGTGAATGGGTAGGAAAAACCGACTTTTTTTTTTTAATTCCCGATATCTCTGTTATGGGTAAAATGAGCCAAAAGTGTCATACATGAAAATCGTCTTGTTAATGTGTGAACTTAATAATACCAAGTACAAAAAAATAATAGCGAATTATGTCCTCTACCATAAATTGACCAGGATGACTTGTTCTGTCGGTCCATACCTGTGCTTCACAACTACAGTATTAACAATAGGTAACCAGTCAACTACCGGCCAGTATTAACAATAGGTAACCAGTCAACTACCAGCACACCAACACCCAACTCACATGGTGCAGGTAAATTCTGGCAAGAGACAGCATTACACATGTACTGTATAAGGAATATGACACTTCATCGTGAAGAAGACAAGCATGTAAATACAAGACAACTGTGGGTTCACAGTTTTTTTTTTTTGGGGGGGGGGGTTCAACAACAGTTGTATATAAATTAGTATACAGAAAGTTATAAAGGCAAAAGGAAGTGGCTTCGTGAAGAATAAGCACCCTTATTTATTTCACCTGAATATTGTGCATCCCCAGCTTATCTCACCTGAAGACTAAGTACCCCAGTTTATTTTACTTGAAGGATGCATACCCCAGCTTATTTCTCTGAATATTGGGAACCCCACTTTATTTCTCCGAAGAATACTTGCCCCAACTAATAGGGATATTAACCACGGGAAGGTTACTTGTCTCGTTAATATATCTGGAATCTTAATTTGCTTGACATGTACTACTATAAAGTATTTTTTGTATCCTTGCGGTTTCATTGTAAATTCATCATCAATGAAATCTTGTATTTTGTTAAATTTTGTGATGGCTCCGTATGTTAAGAGTTGAAAAGCTTTTCTTAGTAGGGCTCGTTGGTTTGGGGGCTTCGAGTACTATATATATCTCTGAGCTAATCTAAAGTTTACACCACAGGTAAGAAACAAGCGTGCAAAGCGGGTGGCGGTGGTTTCGTTCTGGTACGTGTGTTGGCTGGTGTGTGTTGCCTGAGTCCTCCGCCCTGAGCCCTGTCTGTGCTGCTGAGGAGTCGTGGCCAAGGTTAGGGTGACTAGTGTGTATCCCTCAAGAGAGGTGCTCTTGTCTGAAGGGGTTGTGTGTAAAGGATTGCTCCCGTATTTTCG